TGAGGGATTGACCTCCACCTTCCAAGGTGGTCAAAACTGCTGCTATTGCCTCCGGTTCTATATTTTCCTGTATTCGACTGAAGAAGCCAGTTGTGCAGGCGTAGCGTTTCAGCAGTAAAAATACCCAGGTGTTGAACTTGTGTCATATTCTTCAACTAACCTCAGGGATACTGATGAGAATGAAAACGGCCCACTCAGAGCAAACTAAACAATAAACCATCATTTAAGGTCCGGCCTGTTAGCATAGGCCTTCGGGGGACGGGAGGAGGATAATCAATATATTTGTGGCTTAATACACGTCAGACCAAAACATTGGCAGGTTTGTTTCCTAAGCTCGGGTTGTCTGTGTACTGTTCCAACTACAGCATTGTGACTTTTTTATTCTCCAGTTTGTGCAGAAGAGGATTGGCGAGCATAAAGATAGTAGAATAGGTTTTACGTTTTATGGCTTCCAGCTTCTCAAATGTGGAGGTAACAAGTGGCAGTTATCAACAGTTTCTTGTTCTGGAAAACTCTGCATTCCAGTTAACGCAAGTTTGTGCAGCCAATTAGTGTGTTACTTGTAGATAGCTCGACCGTTAGCGCACTCAGCTCACACGATGAGGTCCGGGGATCGATCCCCGGTACGGCTCGAAAAGATTAGGACGTCTTTCCATCAGTAAAATGGGTACCTGGGTGTTAGTCGACTGGTGTGGGTCACATCCTAAGACAAAATTCACCTTATTTGCCCGAAATGCTCTACTTAACAAAGGGCTTTCTGTATAGTAGCATATAGAAATAGATATTATTATTATTTTTATTATTATTATTATTATTATTATTATTATTATTATTATAAAAAGATGGAGGAGCGTGAGGAAGGTAATATAGGTTGTATAAACCTTGGTAACTGATGCCTACAAAATGGTTTTGAAAGACACGTGAGCAAACACTAGGACATATTAGAAAACATTTCGGTTCTGGGACCTTGATCACCTCTAACACCTCACTCTCCGCCTACATACACTTGTCATTTTAACCTCTGTGTTAGAAGTGATCAAGGTCCCAGAACCGAAACGTTTTTTAATGTCTTAGTATTTGCTCACGTGTCTTTTTAAATCAGTGTAGGTTGTGTGTTTCGGATTACTTCAAGGTATGTGGTCCATTTGTAGTAGTAGACTGATTACCTCAAACTCATCTTCCACCGTTTCTCTGCATTGGACTGAAGCCATTGGCTGGCGAAACGTTTCCAAATGTTGCACAAGTTGAAGATTGAGACACTTATGCACAAGTGTCTTATTTATCAACTTGTCGGTTTTCTAAACCATTTATTTCAATTTCTTCTCCCTCCATGACACTAGATCTGGAAGATCTAGTGTCACGGCTCCTTTCTAAGAGCTTACAGAACTTTCCAGTCCGCAGTTCCTCCTCGAGGAAGAATGGATATACATCACATTCATTCAGCTCGCTACACTTCCAACTACACTTCTTATGTGACTGCAGGAAATGTATGACACATTTTTGCTTAGACTAACACCAGTCCAGTTGAAGGAAAGTCTCCCAGTTACATCGTTCTACCTGTCAGCGACGTTCTAACTAACGTTTCCAATATATTTGACAGAAAACTTGTTAAAATATCCACCAGCTCTTCAACTACTGCTAAAAACTTAGTGCAGAAATCCATTAGCGCAGGAGTATAGATAGACAATACCATGTGGTGGATGTGACAAAATGTGTAAGGGAAACAACAAGATCTCTGGATAGGATCAGTTAAAGAACTTCTGCAACCATGATCACCGTAAAAACGCGTCTGTCCACAGAGACGGTGTTGGACACCTGATGTAGTGCAATGAGGCTAGGTTAGTTGTTGAAAAAGATTTATGACGACAAAAGTGTATAGATGCTGCACCAATTGCAGTCAGTAACGCAGTAAAAATCCGGAAGCTATACTATATCCAAATTGTTGTTCAACAGGATATTGATCATTCTACCGACCACTGTAACATGATGTTAACAGGTCCTTCTCAAACCCAACCCGCCTCATCAGTTGTGCTATTACTACTTGTACTACTGCTAGTACTACTACCACTGGTTTAGAAAGACACGTAAGCAGACATTATGGCATATTTATTAGTGTTTGCTTACGTGTCTTTCTAAACCAATCTGTCGGTATTTATCACCAAGGTTTATACCACTACTACTATCATCACCCTCTGGCAGCTTGCCACATGGCTCCTACCCCTATATTCACTCGTTCTTAGTTATCTGCATTAGGACTGAAGAAGCCACTCGTGCCGAATCGTTTCCTTTAATAAATGTCCTGAACTGTACATGTGTGCTTAATTGAGATTAAAGCCTATCTACTACACGAGTCATTATGGCTGCATATAGTCGGTTCACCACCAGTCATGAGTACTTTAATTGCTAATATTTTAGATTAGACTTTCAGAATATATGTACTTAGAGATATACATCTCACTGTGTAATAAAATGTTATATAATGTGAATCCACATTACAAATAAAATTAATGTATCAGTGCTTCAAAATTCTTATAAAATTTTAAATTTGTACTTTATGGTTATTATTAAGTAATGGTAGTATTACTGTTGTTATTATTAATAGGGTTATTGTTAGTATTTATACTTCAAATAAGCACTATTTTTGGGGGGCTCAAGAGAGGTAAACACAGCATCACTAGCACCACTTGACCGCCAAGATGGCGATAGCTTCCCCTTTGCAAATTATCTAAGTATTCCCTTTCGGGAGATATCTAATGAACCACAACATCGAGGTCTACCCCGTCCCATACCCATCTTTTATAATATATTATTATATTCATTGGGAAGAAAAATTCGGCAGGAGTCATAGTGTTTGGGTAACGAGGTTTGATGAAAGGCGGGGAAATAACTTTAAATTATTATATTATTATAAAACGTTATAAGCATCATAGCAACACCTCTCCTCATACCTCTTTGAAACGCTTTGTGCCACATTTCCATAATTATGGTTGTTCTTTCCTCTTTTATATCCCATATGTATAATCTTAAATTTAACTATTTCACAGTACAGTAAGACTTCACTTAACGTCGTCGATAGATTCTTGGAAACTGCGACTTCAAGCAAAACGACGTAAAACGGAACCAATTTTACCATACGTTTATTGATATAAACAGGAGTGCACAATGTACATTTAGCACTCATCGCAACAGGACTAACTCAAGGATAAATGTTGCAAAGTAAAAATCGTAAGGAGCACCACCTACCACCAGGCAGTTTAAAAACTAACATGCAAACTTCACACACAGTGGCCCCGGCCGGGAATCATTTTTTTAACGTTATAACGAAACGACGTAAAGTGAGGACTTACTGCATTTGAAAACTATATAGTGAGGGCACTCCCTCAACTACCTCAAGTCTTACCTCAGCAACAGAAGCCAATATGTGTACGCAAATGGGGCAAGCTCTTCCGCACGACCAATTACAGTTGGTGTCCCACAGGGAAGTGTCCTTGGCCCTCTTCTCTTTCTCCTATACATAAATGACCTACCAAATGCTTCGCAATTACTCAAACCCACACTTTTTGCAGATGACACTACATACGTCTTCTCTCACCCGAGCCCAGTCACGCTAGCCAATACTGTAAACACCGAATTACAGAAAATATCTACCTGGATGAGGACTAACAAACTTACACTAAACATTGACAAAACCTACTTCATTCAGTTTGGTAGCAGAACTACAGTTGTACCTCTTAACATAACGATAAACGGATCACCTATCACAAAGCTAACAGAGGGAAAATTCTTAGGAATCCACCTCGATAATAGACTCAAATTTCATACACACATACAACAAATTTCTAAGAAAATTTCCAAGACTGTAGGCATACTATCGAAGATACGGTACTATGTTCCACAGTCAGCCCTCCTGGCCCTTTATCACTCTCTTATTTACCCGTATCTCACCTATGGAATTTGTGCATGGGGCTCAACAACAACTAACCATCTCAGACCACTAATTACCCAACAAAAGGCTGCAGTTAGAATGATAACAAATTCTCACTACAGGCAACACACTCCACCAATATACAAAACACTCAACCTACTCACCATACAAAACATCCATACTTATTATTGCACTTATTACATACATAGAACACTTAACTCTGATATTAACCCTCCCCTCAAACATCTCCTTGCCAACCTCAACAGAACACATGACCATAACACAAGGCACAGATCACTTTTTGATGTTCCTCGTGTCCATCTCACGCTATGCAAAAACTCAATGCACATAAAAGGCCCTAAAATCTGGAATTCATTACCTGTAAATATAAAAGAAACACTACCTGTTTATAAATTCAAGTCTCTTCTCAAAGATCACTTACTCACTCAAAACCAAATAAATACTGAATAACTGAACCTTATAAATTGTATATCCTATATGTTACTCACAATTATATCACAAATGTTAAACCTAGGACCCAATCTAACTTTATTATTTTTTTAAATACACTACCTAACAAAATACTCCATTCTACTGAATATACAGCAATGCAAGCAACCATATGACCTGTCTTTGTAATATTCATTTGTGCTTTATAGTTATCTGTTTACAATAATGTTTTATCACTGATTTCATCATTGCTTAGTTAATCTTAAGTTAATTTTAAGCCAGCCCGTAATGCTATGCATATAAGTGGCTTTGGCATGCTGCTCTTACCTGTATTTTTTGTACCTCTGTTTGTATGCTTAAATTACTAAATAAATAAATAAATAAATAAATTAATAAAAATTTCTATAGTTTTCTGAAATATATTCACTTACCTGCATGTAATGAGGAATTGAATGTACTTTTAAACCATTTTTTAACTATAGATGTAATGTCATTGACAGTGAGCTGCACATAAGTTTTTGTCTGCCTTTGTGTTTACTTTTTTTTTTTTTTGCTTTTGCTTACACAAAATTATTATTTATGTTCTTGAAGCCTAATAAATAACTAAAATAAAGTATACCTGCAGATGGAGGGATTGAAATGGTTGACGGTAGTGATGGCAGTGGGCTGGGCAGCAGGTAGACAGCCACACACCAAGGTCCACACAACTGCTCAACTCCTCAGTACCGAGGAGAATGTAGGTCCCCACCAGCTCGTCGCTACAGAGTTACATCATGACCTTATTAAACTCATCAAGGGGAAAAGCCTATCTCAGTTGGGTGGTAAGTTTCATCAGACCCCCCACCCCCTCATTATTTGTATTTATCCATTAGGTTTTCTGGTGGATAACCTCGAGCTCTTGGGCTCAACTCGTAATTTTCACGTGACAAATTATTTCTGTTGTGGTGTACCTGTATAACGTCAACTGCTGACTGTATCGTTTACGTTATTTCACTTCCCTGGTAAATCTTTCACTTTTAATCCATGCTTGGAATTTTTTTGCTATCCTCCCTGTGTTTTGGGGGTATTGGGGTTTTTGGATAATTACCTCTTGCTTGGGGTTTTCAGGGGACAAAATTTTTGGGGACTTTTTTGTAGCTTTAGGTAATTAGGAAAGATTTGTCGGGAAAAGGAAGTATTGTTTTTTTCCCATTGCCGGTCCCTAGAAACTTTGTCCCAGCCATGGGACCCCTAATTTTTCTCGTGTTGTTTTTTATTTGACTTGGTGAGGGGTTATAACGGGCGCGGGGTCTAGGTTTTTGGTTTCACTTAAGTATAGAAAAAATAATTTTAAAAAGCCCCCGTCCAAAGGACGACCAAAATTCTTTATTTTCCGCGTTATCCCCAAAAAATTTTAAGTTTATTGGAAATAATTTTTTTATAATAGCAAAAGAAATATAAAAGGGAAAAAATTAGCTTTGGCCACGGAGAGATTAACAGTGTGATTAATAGAAAGTCTGATTCTGGGGTCTTAAAACAGTATTTCGTAGGCAGTGGCAGCGTAACCCCTCACTTCCCACATTGGTTTTCCTCAGTATGATACAAATGGTCCAACTCCCTACAGACTATCACATGATCCTTATTCTCTAAGGGAAAAGTTCTCAGTTGGTGTGGAATTTTCATGACCACCCCTCATGTATTTTTCCGTTAGGTTTTCTGGATAAGTGGGCTTCCTGGGGCTAAACCTCGATTCACACACGGAGGGCCGGGTATAACCCAACGCGGGTGAAACACTTCGACGTTTTTCACTTCCCTGTGAAAAATGTTCACCTTGCCAGTAAATTTCGTACCGGGCTGTGCTTGGGAATGTGTATTTGGAAACCCTCCTTTGGGGGACAAAAATTGAGGACCATTAAGGTAATGTTAGAAGATAGTCAGGAATACGCACTATTGTCTGTTTTATCCTGGGTGGCTAACCCCCGGGGTTAATAAATCCGAAGATTCTTTTATCTTAAGTTAACCGGGGCGCTGGGGTACTCAGCATTAGTCACTTTAATATGGCAAAAATATAGGAAAGTTAAGGCACCTTTATTCCGCGTTTCTCATAAAGTAGGTTTTCTTCAGTTGAAAAGGTACAAAAGTGGGCATGGACCAAGGTAGAGATTGAACATGATGTTAATAGTCCATTTAATCTTAAAACGTATTTCGAGGCAGTGCAGCGTAACCCTCACTTCCAGATGGTTTTCCCCATAGTATCAAAATTGTGCCAAGTCCCCTGGACTAATTGGATGTGTCCTAAGGGGTGGTCATGTTTGTCCGTGAAAATCAGTTTAAGAGTCAGTGCTGTGAGGATACGATATTTGATCATGGGAATCCCTTGGATAAACTTCGTTCAGGACAAGGAGGGTGGTTTTCCGATAGGGGGTGAACACTTTCAGCAGATGTTTATGAAGGTTGCATGTAACCTAGAATTAAATAAGGACCAGGGGGGAGGTGCGTTGAGGTATCTGTGGAGACAAGAAATATTACCATAAGGGAATAAGAAGAGGGAATGTTGCGGGTTATCTGGTGGCTAACCCTTTGGGGTTGAAAATCGTAAGTAAATCTGCAGCTTAAAAAAGGCGGTGGAGGCAAAGTCTGCCGGGCAATTAACAGTGTAAATACTGCAGACACATAACAATCGGTTAGTTCACCTTTAATACCGAAACGTACCAGTATGATTCTTAGTCTGAGTTACGAATCCAGTAGAGATGTGACTTCCCCTCCCCTTTACATTGTTGCTCCCTCAAGCTTGGAGAAACCGTGACTTCCTATTCCATTTTTTTGCAAAGGTCTGTGTCATTTGGATTTTTTAAGTCAATTTTTATGTAGTGGTTTTGTGTTTCTTCTATTTATTATAAATTCGCCTTCCTGGAGAGTCGGGGTGCATGTTCTCTCCCTTTGGGACCTAGATCACGTGCAGTGGGTTTTTGATGACTGGGTAACCCTCCTTGATGCCAAGAAACAAGGTATGAACGTTGATAATTGTGAAAAAAAACCGGAACAGAGTTAGGGAAGACAATATTGCCAACAGTTAGGGGTATGCTTGTTTGAAAGCTGCAGCAGGCGCTACAAGTGAGCTTCTGTCTAGGTCGAGTACAGTAAATTTATGCAGAGAAGAAAACAAGTCGCCGTCTCAGTTAAATCACCCTTAAAAGTTTTGAGGTCATTATCCCTCGTCTGGTAAGGCCTTCCCCCCCGTTGTTTCAGAACAACGGAAACAATCTCTTCCCCTTTTACTGTACTGACCCTCCCTCAATCCTTTTATTTTACTGTCATCGTGAGTTATCGTTTCTTCAAGTTATTTTTTTCATCACTTTTCCCTCTCCCACTGAGAACTCCTCCCCCTCTGTAGGCAACGTTTAAAAAGTGCTTCCCTTTGCTTTATGTGCCCCTTTACCCTACTACTAGTACTACCACCACTACCACTTCCTGCCTATATATAGCTGACCCGTCCTCCCCGCTCACCCCACCGGAGTCCCAATAGAAGAGCCTGAATTTCTCTTCTCAATATCTGTCCCACGATCGCCTTCGCTGCTGGGTTAAGCCCTGGCTCTTATTTCTACGACTAAGAACACTCCTCTCCAGCACTATTCTTCGTCTGTCCCGTCTTCCCCGCTCATCCCATTTGGGATCTTGCCTGTACTATCGTTCGTTCGTTCGTTACTTCTGGTTCAACGGTGCTGCATTCCTCGTTTGTGACTTAGCTCGAGTGATGACGTGTGCTTACCTAACACATCACTCGCACATCGACGATCTCGCCTCTCGAATTACCCCGTGTTGGGAGAGACTTTGCTTAGAGTAGTGCTTGCTGGACCTTCGTCTTCCTCTCCGCCATCAGGATTGATGCGTCGGTGGTTGCCTACCCAAGGGCAGGAAGCCTGTTGCTGCCCGAATTTTCTTCACCTGACTGCACGCCATACAGCCAGTCTCGCCGCCACTCAGGATATACAGTGCTCCATCAAGCTACAGTTCACCTCCTCAGTGTCCTTCGCCAGGCAAGTACGTGTGTCTACTTACACGTACTTGCCTAGCTAAGTACTCTAACTTTTTGGCCGATTGTCACCGCCAATTTCATCTTTTCGTAATTAGACGATGCCTTCGTTGCCTTCCACCTCCCACCCCCCTTCCACTCTCCCCACACCTGCCTCTGCTTCTTCTAAATCCAGTTCCTTCTCGCTAAACCTCAAATTCTCTAATCCTGATGCCACTATCTGTCCTGAAAAATTATTATATCAGATCACTGGTGCACCTCAGCTTAGTCTTCAAAACCAACTCAGGCTTCAAACTCCTTCTTGACAAACGTTCCTACGAAACGTACACCTCAACCGATACCAGACAAAAACTTCTCAACGCAGTCTTCACCATTATTTGGACTCCTGAGCACCGTGCCAAAAGCAGTCATTGCTAAACACGTAGACTACTCTCTCCTGACAGCCTATGACACAGACAAAGAAGACTTAATAAAAGATATCAGTACTAAGAACAAAGTCTCTGCTGACGATATTTACAGACCCGAAAACTCTACCATTCTCAAAATACGCTGTTCTACTTCTGCTGACGCCTCTACACTCTTCAGTCAAGGAATCTTTGCCAAGACCATCCGCATTCCTCCAAACCACTCTTCACTGCGAACTTCCACCCAATCACACAATGTCTTAAATGCTACAAATTCGGCCACGACAAAAACACATGCTCATATACACAAGTCTGCTCCAGATGTTCTAACTGCGGCAGGTCACACACTGCAGTTGCAAATTCCTGCCCCTTTTAGAAAGCACATTTTCTCCTCCCTCAGAGCCAGCCAACCTCCATCCCTCCCCAACCCCTTCCCTGCACCTCCCTCCCCTTCCATACCTCCCTCCCCTACCCCCAATGCCTGGGCCTCCCCACGCACTTGGTCTACCTCTCTTACTCTACACACATCAAACACCAACACACAGACTACAAGCACTTCTCCTTCTACACCTACACCCACACTAGACTACAAAACTGTCAACTCGCCACTGCTGCCCACTCTGCGATGGTAATCTCTCAAGCTTACCAATCAGACTACTCACATGTCCTTAACCTAATCTTGTCTGCTAACAATCTTCCCTCTTTAATTATCCCTCCTTCCTGCTTCTCTTTTAAGCCTCCTACAACCTCTCCCTCCTCCCTCTCTCCCACCCCCACACTTCCTACTCCCACCAGCTTCCTCCTCCCCTACCCTTCTTCACTACTTCTACACCTCCCACCAACACCCCTACTGCTGCTGCTACTACTACGACCCCCCCCCCTCCACCATTCCATCCCCTTCAACTACCCCCCTTCCTTCACCTCCCCTTCCATAGCTTCCACTTCCTCATCCCTTACCATAGCTCCTCTTCCTCATCCCCTACCAAAGCTTCTACTTCCTCTGCATCCACCTTCGCCCACTCCACCACAACCAAAACTTCATCCAGGTCCAACTCCACCTCCTCCAGACAAAATCCACTCAAACCTAAACCTGCCCCAACTTCTGACAGACAGACCGAAGAACATAAAAACAGATCCACCTCTTCCTCCCCCTCCAGGAAACGGGTCCATAACACCTACAAACACACATCCACTGATGGCACCACTATCACGGGCTTTAATCCAAACTCCTCCCCCGACATTAACTTTGCTATGACGAAACCATTAAATCATGTTTAAGGTGATTCAGTTCAACGTACGTTCTTACTTTACAATTAGACACCTACTGGCCGAGCTCCTTCAAGCAGAGGGGCCAGATATTGTTTTGCTAAACAGTACCTGCCTCAAAGCCCCTCAACGTATCCGCCATTATGGTTATACTGCACTTTCAGTCCCCTATGATCCCCCCCGATGGGGTTGCCATCCTTGTCAAATCCAACATAAAACACGAATTTCTCCCAATCCCTTTTATTCACCAACACTGTCCTGCAGTCAGAATACACAACCACCTTGACCCCTTTATCTTTTTCACCACCTATGCTCGCCCAAACACTATTCTCGGCATACACGACCTTTCCTAAGTCTTCAACTACACCAACATACCTACTAGCTGATATGCATGCCAAACACACCTCCTTTCATCACACCAGTAACAACCAACTTGGTCACCAATTACTCAACTTCACAAACCACAAACACCTAATTCACCTCGGACCAGACTTCAACACCTTCTACAATCACACTGGCCAAGGCAAACCCGACATCATTCTGGCAAACCGAGCCAGCTCTCTCTTTCAACACTACATATCACCTGGCCCTATAACAGGCTCTGATCACATTCCCGTCATCTTACACATCTCCTCCAACCCTACCCTCATCCCGGCCACACCTTCCTTCTCCTACAAGAACGCTGACTGGGATACCTTCAAACAACACACAGATAATACTAACCTCACCTATGACTACAACAACAAACCCATCTCTGACATTGACACTCAACTTGCTCTCATCCAAGACACCATTACACAAGCAGCCAACACCGCAATACCAAAGAAAACCCACACCACTCGTTATTCCTTCAAACCCTCAACCAGAACAAGAAGACTAATTATCTGTTACCACAACCGCTTTCTCTACAACACACACAGATTTAATCAAGTCCGATTAGATCTCACCTCAGAAACAACATTCTACACAGTCTAGACCAAGACCACAACAATCACTGGTCACAGCTCATACTACAAGCGGATAAACAGCGTATCAAAAACACCAAAGCCTTCTGGAACTTTATCAAAAAGATCAGAGGCACCACTCCCACCAACAAATTCAAACACATCACCCACAACAATCACACATCTCAGACCCACAGGCTGCTACTAACATCTTCAAACACATCTGGGGGAACATCTTCCACCCTCACCCACCCCACCCTAACGCTATTCAACACATTCAGAACATAGAACACTGGAGCATTACACACACACACACGAAACAACACCAGACAGCCACATCCATCTGGACACACTTACCTCCTCCCAAGAACTTAACACTCCTTTCATCAACACAGACGTTAAAACTCTCCTCAGACACCTTCCTCCCAAGGCCCCTGGTGCCTCTGGCCTAAACTATATTATCCTAAAACACCTTCCTGACTCTATCATTACTGCCTACACAAACCTCCTCAATGCCTCCCTTGCCTCTGGATACTTCCCTTCCCTCTTCAAAGCTGCTACTGCTATCCTCCTTCCTAAACCCAATAAAGACCACTCTGACCCTAGAAACTATCGCCCTATCAGCCTCCTCGAAACTTTAGGATACCTGGAACACAATTCTCTACTTTCTGATGGCCAGTTTGGCTTCAGAACACACAGATCCACACAGGATGCCATTAACATCATTCTCAACTACATCCACATAAACACAAAACAAAGAAACAAGATAGCCCTGGTTGCAAAAGCCGTTGAAAAAGCTTTTGACACTGTCTGGCACGAAGGGCTCAAGTACAAACTCTGCATTAACTTTAACCTGCCTCTCACTACTCGTAAACTCCTCTGCAACTTCCTAGACGGCCGTACCATGAGAATAAAATTCCAAGGCTGTTACTCTGACTACTACACACTAAATGCCGGAGTACCCCAGGGATCTGTCCTCTCCCCTACCCTCTACATTTTATACACTAACAATATTCCAACACCTGTATACCACAATCCCATCACACTACCTATGCAGACGACATTACACAACTTATCACTCATGCCAATATAGATACACTCACACACAAAACACAAAATAGGTCGAGAGGATAGCCATCTGGGAACAAAAATGAGGATCAAAACCCTGCAGCTAATCCAGCATTACGTATTTTAGCTACAGGAAACGTGATCCTCCATTACCTGTCGAGCTCAGAACAGCTGACACCCGCACTTACGTCCCATCACACAATCTGTCACTCCTTGGCGTTAATCTTGACTACCTTCCTTTGTTTACACAGACACATTCACTCAAGGCATACAATAGCTATAAGGCCCTTGCGGGCCTCTACAAGCTGAAACATGCCTCTCAACGCACCAAACTACACCTCTACAAATCCCTAATACATCCTCTGATAACTTACTCTCCTCTAGGCCTCTCTCTTGCAGCAACAACAAACTTAAACTGCAGCGTGTCCAGAACAAGGCGCTGCGCTGGGTGCTTGATGTCAGATGGGAGGACTTCGCCACAAGCGAGTCTCTCCATGCCCAATTAGACATCCCTGCGCTGAATCTGTACTGGAAGACGCTCAGTGACAGACAGATAGACAAACTTGAGACACGACATGACTACTGGACCTCCCTCCTTGACCAAGACATTCGCAGACCCACAAACCAACACAACCTTTTCTACTCCTTGCATGATCCTGCTCCTAACCTTATTTACAAATAACCTTGGATTCGCTGACAGGTACCTTCTATGACAGGTACCATTCTCTGACCCACATTCGCCTTTTGGGCTAAGACATGGCCCAGTTCTACACTCCTCTCTAGCGCTAAACGTCGCATGTACCTTCCTCCCCGCCCACCCCACCGGAGTCCCAACAGAAGAGCCTGAATTTCTCTTCTCAATATCTGTCCCACGATCGCCTTCGTTGCTGGGTTAAGCCCTGGCTCTATTTCTACGACTGAGAACACTCCTCTCCAGCACTATTCTTCGTCTGTCCCGTCTTCCCCGCTCATCCCATTTGGGATCTTACCTGAACTTTCGTTCGTTCGTACTTCTGGTAAGTGTGACTTTGTAAATGGTCCAAGTCGGACCGAAACGTCGTCGTAAGCTCCTCTCTTCTATGTGCGGGTTATTTGTTTATGCAGAGAATTCGTAGTATGGAAATTAGGAGGTGTGGAGTTCCTAAAAGTATTACTCAGAGGGCTGAGGAGGGGCTGTTGAGGTGGTTTGGTCATTTAAAGAGAATAGAATGAAGTAAAATGACTTGGAGAGCGTATAAATTTGTAGAGGAAGGAAGGCTGGGGAGGGGTCGTTCCCGACAAGGTTGGAGGGAGGTTTTGTGGGCGAGGGGCATGGACTTCCAGGAAGCGTGCCTGAGCTTGTTTGATAGGAGTGAATGGAGACGAATGGGTTTTGGGACCTGATGAGCTGTTGAAGTATGAACAGGGTAATATTTTGTGAAGGAATTCAGGGAAACCGGTTAGCCGGACTTGAGTCCAGGAAATGGGAAGTACAATGCCTGCACTTTAAAGGAGGGGTTTGGTATATTGGCAGTTTGGAGGGACATCTGAGCTGTCGTATATGAGCACTTCTGCAAAGACAGTGATTATGTATGAGTGATGGTGAAAGTGTTGAATGATGAAAGTTTGTCTTTCTTTCTTTTTAAGCTTTCTGGGTCAACCTGCCTAGGTGAGAGACGGCCGACGTGTTTAATAATATATATATATATATATATATATATATATATATATATATATATATATATATATATATATATATATATATAAATTATATATAATATATATATATATATATATATGTCGTGCCGAATAGGCAGAACTTGCGATCTTGGCTTAAATAGCAACGCTCATCTTGCCATATAGGACAAGTGAAAATTTGTGTATGCAATAATTTCGCCAAAATCATTCTGAACCTAACGAAAAAAATATATTTGATTGTGTTTGTTTAGTACTAAATTACTGTAAACGTATTTAAAATATATTTAGTTGGGTTAGGCTAAACTAAATTGCTCTTGTTATAATAAGGTTAGGTAAGTTTTCTAAGATTCTTTTGGTGCAAAATTGAAAATTTTTACATTAACATTAATGAAAAAAATATATCTTTAAACGTATAAGAGAAAATTTCAGAAAGGACTTAATTTTAAATGAGTTTTTGCTAACTGACCAGTTTTACATATTCGGCACGACATATATAATTGGTGATCGGCAGTGTCTTACATTCTGATTAGTGCACTTGTGCCAGCTGCTACACTAAATGCACTCGTCATCAGCAGTGCTTTATCCGTGAACCAGCAGTGCACTCGCGTTCATGTTGTAATATTGCATCTAGCATTTGTTTAGAACTCATTTCATGTATTTTAAGTTTATTTACGACTTGTTTATGAATCCCCATCTTTACTTTTTTTTGCAGATATCATCTCTAATGAGCAGGCGTTCAGTACACTGCTGGAGAGGTTCTCTGCTCTTAACCAAGCCCTCGAGAATCTCCAGCAGGCAATCAGCCTGCTAAATGCTCAGCTCCAGAATGCACAAGGTGAGTGTTTCCAAATATTTTGCCTAGTATGGACACGGGGTCAAAAATTATTATTCTTAGAGTAGGTTATGAAATCATAAATAATTTTTAGAAAGGCTGTCCAAGACAGCCTGTATAATTCAACAAAATGCCACAAATCCTATCTGAAAGTTGTATTATTAAATTTTTTACCTGTCATGATCTCTTGTGTTAAGTTACTTAGATAAAGATACTTATTTCAGCATGATGCATGTTTGTACAAAGGTGAATTACATTTAGATGTGCATGCTGAAAGCCCCTTAATAGGCAGAGCATATTGTATAAATGTATTACATAAACGTTCAATCAGCAGTTATTATCTTCAGTGACGATATATTTAATAATACTAAAAATGCTGAACTTACACGTGTACTTCGCTGCAGTGAACATGGACGTCTATACAGTAACGTTTTGTATTTATATTTTGCCGCCGAAGCAACTAGGTTATTGGGCACCCATATCCATCTGTGTACGGTAAAACAAGAGCATATTGACCCACAAAACGCCTATGAAATAGGCTTCTAAAAAGGTTTACAGGGGCACATTTGGATTTATATCTATAGTTCACTTACCTGTAGCAAGCTGATTTTGGAACTTGCTCGATATATCTGGTATTATATTTTCATTAATCAGATATCTTGACATATCACATAGGTTATTTGACTGTCTCTATATTCCTCAATAAATAAACAATAAAACTCACGTGGTCATAGTTACTATCTTGAGCACAATACTGTAGGGGAAAGAAGAATCCATTGTTAATGCGAGTGCGGAACAGGAGTCTGTGTTGGTGTAACAGGTTCAACTTAAAAAGTCATTGAGTTCCCATTAGTGGAGGCTTTTGGAAGGAAAAGTAGTTACTGAAGAGGTTAAAAGTAAAGTGAAAGGGTGGGCATGTTTCATTACAATTGCTGCCCCTGGTCACCAAGCAATAAGTAAGTGCCTAGGTGTTAGTTGAATGATGTGGATTGCATCGTAGGAAACAAGGTTGCCTAAGTTGCCTGAAGTGTTCTGCATAACCAGGGGCTTTCTGTGTAGTATGTTAATAATATCTAGGTCTGTTAAAGTTTTATTATTATTATTATATGCTTTCTGATACGATAGTCCATTAAAATGACTTGCTGATAGCACCACCTTAATTAACAGTAGTCCTCGCTGAGAGGTACCTCTTATCCCTCTGTAAAGTGTCCAGGTGTGAGTCGTGTACGTAAAGTATATAATGAGAGCAGGGTTCCCCCTGCTTAACAGCAAAAGAAGGAAAGTAGTAAAAAAAAAACTAGTTGCAATGCGAGAGAAAGCTTGAAATCGTGGAGAGTAGTGGGATTCCTCTATGGGAACCCATGGCTCATCAGAGCAGCTGCGCAGTGGGATAGCCTTGCAAATTCTTTAAACAGACCAATTTCTCCCAGAGATCACAAGCAGTTCCACTGGGATAGACCCATCGTTGAGAAAATAGCCCAAACAGTGCCACAGGAAAGGACTAAGTTCGTCTGCTAGCGGTGAAGGCATCACATTTTGGAGATTTCCTTTTGGTCATAGTTAATTCCTCGTTGGGCACTCACCTCGACTCTCAGGCCATTCGAATTGGTGTAGATTTCCGCTTAACCCTTTCAATAGCTCCTAGCCACCCCTCTTCGCCTAGCTACCCTCATGCTCACCAAACACAGGTGCTTTTGCAGCTGGATGTCAGCTGATGAATTTGGGCTCCCTGGTTTCCTTAGTCATACGTTGGAAGGGAAGTCTTCCAGACACGAGGAGGTTAATGACATCAAGTGAAGTCCCGGCACAGCCCGTTGCCAAGCAGAATAGAAACCTCAAATGCTGAGTCCCGACGGTAGTCAGAAGCGTCCAGATGGAGTCACCATGCTATCCTGGAGACACCGGTTAGCAGATTGCATGGGACTACACCTGTGCATCTACAGTGATCTAATTGCAATTCCCTGAAGCTGAAGGGGCGGTGCTGCCAGTTTTCGGAAAAACCCAGATCAACAAATACAGAGGGACTGGTATCATTCTATAACTTCTTCCCAATAGGATCGGAGACCCTCAGAGCATTGGGCAAATGTGCTCTAAGAACCTTCAAGAGTTAGATGACAAACTAAAAGAAATCAAGGACCCCTGAGCGAATCAGCTCTGCCCAAAATGCTGCAAGCATTTTGGGCACAAATAGCTTTGGGAAGAAACGTGAATTTTCCATAAAGTACATTTATTCTCTGAGGCTGTAGGCCCCCAGGCAGTTCTAGATTAATAAGAACCCATCATCAGGCCATAGTAAATTAAAAAAATGGAGAATGCAGTGTTGTGCTATTACACTGGAGTAATACAGTGCAGCTTTCTTAGGATATTAAAACGTAAACAGTAATGATAAACTATGTCCTATAATGGCAGCTCATTCATGCAGCCTATCTTGGTTCCGAGTGATGCAAAGCTCATGCAAGGCATGTGCTTGTTCATGCAACCTATCTTGGTTTAGTGATCTGCTCATGCGTTATAGAGACTACATTAAGTCGACTGGGGTTAATTAATGTCTAGAATACATAGTTTTTGAAATGTAGTTAGCACCTGAGTACGTCTACATGCATATAATATAGTAAACTGGCTAGTCGTTTGGTAGCATAGGTTCACTTGTGTTCGGGAGACCGACAAATTAGAGAAGGGTATGTTAACCCTGTCTTTGACAAGTTTTCATGTTGGATTTTGCCGTCTTATAAACAGTAAGTATTTATGGAGTGTGAGCAGGGTAATATTTTGTGAAGGGATTCAGGGAAACCGGTTAGCCGGACTTGAGTCCTGGAGGTGAAAAGTACAATGCCTACACTTGAAAGGAGGGGTTCGGGATATTTGCTGTTTGGAGTGACATCTACAAAGACTGATTATGCGTGAATGATGGTGAAAGAGTTTATTTTAAAGGGCCGTCTCCCACCGAGGCAGGTGACCCCAAAAAAAAAGAATCATTTTCACCATCATTCACGCATAATCACACTTCGCAGAAGCACCCAGATAAGACAGTTCATATGTCACTCTAAACAGCCAGTATCTCAAACCCCTCCTTTAAAGTGCAGGCATTGTACTTCCCACCTCCAGGACTCAAGTCCGGCTAACTGGTTTCCCTGAATCCCTTCATAAAATATTACTCTATTCACCTAGTCAATCCCTTCTAGATTCACTACTATTGTTGATGTTGCAGGTAGAGTGTCAACATCTTCAGAAGCTCCAGTTACTGAACTTATGACAACAGAATATTTCACATCTTCAGAAACCCAACTTAGTGAGCTTTTTACAACAAAAGTGCCAACATCTCCTGAAGCCTCGGTAACTGAGCTTGTAACAACAAATCTGTCAACATCTTCAGAAGCCTCCAGAAGAACAGAAGAGCCACTAACTACGCTGCAACCATGTAACCTTGAAACTCACTTTGAGTGTGATAATGGAAGTTGTCTCTCTAGAAACCTGTTGTGTGATGCTTCGCTTGACTGTCAGGACGGCACTGATGAGTCCCCGGACTGTAGCACAGGAGAGGTGAGACCTCTGACAGACTTTCAGCTTACAGAGATGAATAGTTATATCTTGTGCAGGCATGCATTTATGTAAACTGTTTTGTGTCATTAGGAATAGGGTAAAAATTCCTTAGGTTCACACTTGAACAAACGGGTCATCAAACCTGTAATCATCATTATGCAAAAATTAATCTTTAGAGATATTCTCAACTAAAATATTTATTCACAGTTGTTTATTACAACTTAATTTGAGTTTATATACAAACATCTCTCAGTCCACAGCAGGATTCGAACCTCCAAACTCGACATCACAATACACAGTATTTCATCCACAAAGATGCCGAGTTTGCAGGTTTGAATCCTGCTGTGGACTGAGAGATTATGTTTGACAGAGTCGCCAGCTGAAAAGGAATGAAATCTCATACCTTCAAGGAAGATCCCAAGCTCACGCATTAATTTATAGATAAAAGTCACAACACAAATGAAGTTAAGTAAAGAAGATAGCCTATTGCAGTCTTTTAGTTACACTAAAATAAAAACAAAAATGAAAGATAATCCCATATGAAGCAAGTTATGAAATAAAAAATATTTAATCTGACCAAACACGACAATATCACAATAAATATTGATCCACGACAGTATCACAACTAAATGTCAACACAAGAAAGAACTTTCATACAAAAAGACCCTCCAGCAGAATGGAGGTAAATACAGCTGGAGTGTTAGGTAAAAGGACACAAGTACAACTAATGCGATATTTTATTGGGGCAACGTTTCGCCGAGCGTGTAACAGCTTGACAAAGCTCCTGGAGAGCAAAAAGTTGAAACAATCAAAATGTATAAGTTGCACTTATGTCCTTTACCTAACACATTGTCTGCAATTCCATCAACATTATTACAGCTGGAGTGGATCAGAGCAACGTTGCGAGAGACAGTGAAGTCGTGTGCTCGGCCTGAAACATTATAGAGCTGCCCCACACAGGTGAGGTGAGCGTCGCGCACACGTCGAGACGGCGGACAGATAATAATAGACAAATGCAATATAAAGTGGGCGAAACGTAGTCGGTATTTTATACCATTTATCTGCATTTTATACCATTTATCTCCACCACCAAGAGTATTGCAGTATTACAAATTATTGTGGAGCCAACAAGACTGGAAAATACGCTTGACCTTAGTTTCACTAATAATGACGATCTGCTACAAAATATAACAGTATCAAGGACAAGAGTAGTATCTGCGTGATTACCCAGAGTCGTGAAGAAAGACAGCTGACAGTAATAATATGTCTGGCAGGTGAGTGAGGACTGGCTCACACAGGTGTAATAATATGTCTGGCAGGTGGGTGAGGACTGGCTCACACAGGTGTAACAGCATGTCTGGCAGGTGGGTGAGGACTGGCTCACACAGGTGTAACAACATGTCTGGCAGGTGGGTGAGGACTGGCTCACACAGGTGTAACAACATGTCTGGCAGGTGGGTAGGACTGGCTCACACAGGTGTAATAATATGTCTGGCAGGTGGGTGAGGACTGGCTCACACAGGTGTAATAACATGTCTGGCAGGTGGGTGAGGACTGGCTCACACAGGTGTAACAACATGTCTGGCAGGTGGGTGAGGACTGGCTCACACAGGTGTAACAACATGTCTGGCAGGTGGGTGAGGACTGGCTCACACAGGTGTAACAACATGTCTGGCAGGTGGGTGAGGACTGGCTCACACAGGTGTAACAACATGTCTGGCAGGTGGGTGAGGACTGGCTCACACAGGTGTAACAACACCCACACAACCATTGTAATACTAGGCCTGGGTACCCGTAACTCCCTCATAGTACAGATGATTTCAAGGTGAAGGGCTCTTGTTTCAAGGAAGTGGATTTGGCTTTCCCTTCCTTAGATCGAATCTTCTTGCTTATCATTTCCAGTATCTCTGCATGGGTTCGACGGGTTTACGGCTCTCTCATTAATGTAATAATTACTCAGTTTTACACCTTAAAGTGCTATGAACTTAACAGGATATTATATATAATAATTGAATAGGGGTTGAAATATATTTTAAGAAAATATAGTTAAATTATGCTAATCCTACTAGCATTAAAATATATACAACCATATTATGTATTTTAACCACATTATCTATTTTAACCACATTATCTATTTAGCCACTTTTTTTGTATATAATTTTTTACGTAGTAGGTGACACTTAAGATATTTTATTCCCATGACTTGTGATTATAGTGTACAAGCAATAATGTTTTTAGTCTGGTATCTCTCCAAGTCCTCAAACAGTCAGAATCGGGTGGGGTTTGAACCCATGGGGAGTGAGTTCAGAAACTCGTAGGCCAGTGCGTTAACCACTCTTGCCATGGTTCAAACCCCACCCGTTCCCTGTTTTTTTTCTGCTCTTACTATGTGGTCACTGCGTACTCTCACAACAGTCACCACTAAAAACATACGTGATTTTTTTTATTAACACAATGGCCTTCTCCCACCAAGGCAGGGTGGCCCGAAAAGAAAACTTTCATTATTCACTCCACTGTCTTGCCAGAGGGGTGCTTACAGTACAGTTATAAAACTGCAACATCAACACCCCTCCTTCAGAATGCAGACACTGTACTCCCATCTCCAGGACTCTAGTCCGGCCTCCCGGTTTTCCTGAATCCCTTCATAAAATGTTACCTTCCTCATACTCCAACAGCACGTCAAGTCTTAAAAACCATTAGTCTCCATTCGCTCCTATCTAACGCGCTCACGCATGCTTGCTGGAAGTCAAAGCCCCTCGCACACAAAACCACCTTCACCCCCTCCCTCCACCCTTTCCTAGGCCGTGAAAATATTAACAACAGATGGGGTCTTAACATTAGTTTGAAAAAGAGAATAGTGTTAATTTTTTTAATGTACAATTTATTCCACAGTCTTTAAAAGTACTGCTGAAATTATCATTCTCATAAAGTATGCCATGATTCATTCTCTTTTTTTTTTTTTTTTTTTGCACAGGTTGTATGTGAAAAATCCGAGTTTAAATGTGTTACAACTAACATCTGCGTGCCCGCGCTGTGGCGGTGTGACGGAGACCCTGATTGTGGTGATTCAAGTGACGAAGATGGTTGTGATGAGGTAATAACACTGGTGGTTCATGTGATGATGGTTGTGATGAGGTAATAACACTGGTGATTCATGTGATGAAGATGGTTGTGATGAGGTAATAACACTGGTGATTCATGTGATGAAGACGGTTGTGATGAGGTAATAACACTGGTGGTTCATGTGATGAAGACGGTTGTGATGAGGTAATAACACTGGTGATTCATGTGATGAAGATGGTTGTGATGAGGTAATAACACTGGTGTTCATGTGATGAAGATGGTTGTGATGAGGTAATAACACTGGTGATTCATGTGATGAAGATGGTTGTGATGAGGTAATAACACTGGTGATTCATGTGATGAAGACGGTTGTGATGAGGTAATAACACTGGTGATTCATGTGATGAAGATGGTTGTGATGAGGTAATAACACTGGTGATTCATGTGATGAATATGGTTGTGATGAGGTAATAACACTGGTGATTCATGTGATGAAGATGGTTGTGATGAGGTAATAACACTGGTGATTCATGTGATGAAGATGGTTGTGATGAGGTAATAACACTGGTGATTCATGTGATGAAGACGGTTGTGATGAGGTAATAACACTGGTGATTCATGTGATGAAGATGGTTGTGATGAGGTAATAACACTGGTGATTCATGTGATGAAGATGGTTGTGATGAGGTAATAACACTGGTGATTCATGTGATGAAGATGGTTGTGATGAGGTAATAACACTGGTGATTCATGTGATGAAGATGGTTGTGATGAGGTAATAACACTGGTGGTTCATGTGATGAAGACGGTTGTGATGTAATAACACTGATCATTTAAATGATAGATGGTTGTGATGAAGTAATAACACTAAATAAAACTTTCCAGTCTATCATTCCCGCTCCAACACACTACTAAGCAACTGTCCACAAAGACGTCTCTCCTCACCTGCTCTCGTATGCGTGAAAGTTAGTGTAAAAATCATTCATTTCATTCGAGGTTTGCCGGTACTTCCGGCCCGGGAAAATCTACTTGCGTAGTTCCAGTGTGGATGGGTATGTCAGTATTTGCTTCACTGGTACCTGTTATTCACTTCAAAATTTATTAAAATGTTAAATACAACAACTTGAACCTTGATAAATAAACACTTGTTCAATATTTAGGAATATACAAGAAACTTTTCCTGGCTAAAAGTTCCCAAATATTGCACAAGTATCTCATCAACTAGCAGATTTTCTAAATTATTTATTCAAACTCTGACCTTATGGGAAGGATTAGAATTTCTAGATTATAATCAAACATATGCAGCTCTTTTTTTTTATTCAGTTTACGATAAATTGTAAATAAAAATGAAGGCGACGTTTGAGTTCCCGGATCAGTTTCAAGTATAAGAGAAAAACAGAAGGTCATAAGACTAGTTAAAGAGGCAAGGATAAACAGAAACATGAGAGGAGAAAGCCAGTCAGGTCAACGCTAGAAGGATAGTCATTGTGATACTTTACATTTCAGATTTTGGACAAAAACGTATGAACTTTGTTTATCCCCAACACATTTATTAAAAACACTTTTAGATTTAATTCTGAATAATTTTTGTAAGTTTAGTTGATAACTTTCAAATATAATTCTTAGTATTGTCAAACAGTATTACTCATACAATTTTTTTAAGCAAAAACAAACACATTGAGAATGTTAGTTTCCCCTCAGGTTGTGTGTACAGACAGGCAGTTCAAGTGTGCCATTAACAACACGTGCATAAATCTGGGCTGGAGGTGTGACGGAGATAATGACTGTCAGGATTCAAGTGATGAAATTGGCTGTAGCCAGGTAAGTAGGAGCTCAAGACAGCACTTCAAAATTGACTCAAGAAATCGTAATGACACGATTGCAAATAAACCATACCCCCGGCCGGGATTGAACCCGCGGTCTAGTGGCTAACGCGACGGGCTGGAGTTCAATCCCGGCCGGGGGTATGGCTTCAAAATTGACTTGTTGTCTGATACATCATGTAAATAGTATCTGTTGTATGACACATCGGGTAAGTGATAAGTGATACAGCATGTTTGTGTATGACGCGGAGGAGTGGTACAACACCCTGGTGTATGACACAGGTGATTGGCACAACACCCTGGTGTATGACACAGGTGATTGGTACAACAACACCCTGGTGTATGACACAGGTGATTGGTACAACACCCTGGTGTATGACACAGGTGATTGGACAACAACACCCTGGTGTATGACACAGGTGTGGTACAACAACACCCGGGTGTATGACACAGGTGAGTTATACAACAACACCCTGCTGTATGACACAGGTGAGTGGCACAACAACACCCTGGTGTATGACACAGGTGAGTGGTACAACAACACCCTGATGTATGACACAGGTGAGTGGTACAACAACACCCTGGTGTATGACACAGGTGATTGGTACAACAACACCCGGTGAAGACACAGGTGAGTGGTACAACAACACCCTGGTGATGACACAGGTGATGGTAAACAACACCCTGGTAGACCAGTGAGTGGTACAACAACACCTGGTTGACACAGGTGGGTACAACAAACCCGGTGTATGCCCACAGGTGAGTGGAAACAACACACCCTGGTGTATGACACAGGGGTGGTACAACAACACCCTGGTGATGACACGGTTGGAATTGGGTTCCCAAACAACACCCCCTGGTGTATGACACGGTGAGGGTACAAAACAAACCCTGTGAATGAACGGTGATTTGGTAAAAACACCCTGTGTATGCCCAGGTGATTTTACAAAAACCCTGGTGTATGACACAGGTGAGTGGTACAACAACACCCTGGTGCATGAGACAGGTGAGTGGTACAACAACACCCTGGTGTATGACACAGGTGAGTGGTACAACAACACCCTGGTGCATGACACAGGTGAGTGGTACAACTCCCTGGTGCATGACGCAGGTGAATGGTGCAACAACACCCTGGTGTATGACACAGGTGAGTGGTACAACAACACCCTGGTGTATGATACAGGTGATTGGTACAACAACACCCTGGTGTATGACACAGGTGAGTACAACAACACCCTGGTGTATGACACAGGTGATTGGTACAAAAACACCCTGGTGTATGACACAGGTGAGTGGTACAACAACACCCTGGTGTATGACACAGGTGAGTGGTACAACAACACCCTGTTGTATGACACAGGTGAGTGGTACAACACCCTGGTGCATGACACAGGTGAGTGGTATAACAACACCCTGGTGCATGACACAGGTGATTGGTACAACACCCTGATGTATGACACAGGCGAGTGGTACAACAACATCCTGATGTATGACACAGGTGAGTGGTTCAACAACACCCTGGTGTATGACACAGGTGAGCGGTGCAACATCACCTTGGTGTATGACACAGGTGAGTGGTACAACAACACCCTGGTGTATGACAGGTGTGTGGTACAAAAGCACCCTGGTGTATGACAGGCGAGTGGTACAATACCACCCTGGTGTATGACACAGGTGAGTGGTACAACACCCTGGTGCATGACACAGGTGAGTGGTACAACAACACCCTGGTGTATGACACAGGTGAGTGGTACAACAACACCCTGGTGCATGACACAGGTGAGTGGTACAACAACTCCCTGGTGCATGACACAGGTGAATGGTGCAACAACATCCTGGTGTATGACACAGGTGAGTGGTACAACAACACCCTGGTGCATGACACAGGTGAGTGGTACAACAACACCCTGGTGCATGACACGGGTGAGTGGTACAACAACACCCTCGTGCATGGACAGGTGGTGGTCCCAAAAATCCCTGGTGCATGAAACAGGTGAGTGGTACAACAACTCCCTGGTGCATGACACAGGTGAGTGGTACAATAACTCCCTGGTGCATGACGCAGGTGAGTGGTACAACAACACCCTGACGCATGACACAGGTGAATGGTACAACAACTCCCTGGTGCATGACACAGGTGAGTGGTACAACAACACCCTGGTGCATGAAACAGGTGAGTGGTACAACAACACCCTGGTGTATGACACAGGTGAGTGGTACAACAACACCCTGGCGCATGACACAGGTGAGTGGTACAACAACTCCCTGGTGTATGAAACAGGTGTGGTACAACAACTCCCTGGTGCATGACACAGGTGAGTGGTACAACAACACCCTGGTGCATGAAACAGGTGTGGTACAACAACACCCTGGTGCATGACACAGGTGAGTGGTACAACAACTCCCTGGTGCATGACACAGGTGAGTGGTACAACAAACCCTGGTGCATGACACAGGTGAGGGGTTTAACAACAACACCCTGGTGCATGACAAGGTGAGAGGTACAACAACACCCTGGTGCTTTACACGGGTTTGGAGTGGTAACAACAAAAACCCTGGTGCATGACACAGGTGAGTGGTACAACAACACCCTGGTGCACGACACAGGTGAGTGGTACAACACCCTGGTGCATGACACAGGTGAGTGGTACAACAACACCCTGGTGCATGACACAGGTGAGTGGTACAACAACTCCCTGGTGCATGACACAGGTGAGTGGTACAACAACACCCTGGTGCATGACACAGGTGAGTGGTACAACAACCCCCTGGTGAAATGCCCACGGGTGAGAGGTACAACAACACCCTGGTGCATGACACAGGTGAGTGGTACAACAACACCCTGGTGCATGACACAGGTGAGTGGTACAACAACACCCTGGTGCATGACACAGGTGAGTGGTACAACAACCTGGTGCATGACACAGGTGAGTGGTACAACAACACCCTGGTGCATGACACAGGTGAGTGGTACAAGAACACCCTGGTGCATGACACATGTGAGTGGTACAACAACCTGGTGCATGACACACCCCTTCACTTAAAATTTCTCGAAGTGTCCAAATGGCATCACATTTTAATACCTAATTATTATATTATTCATTTATATGTTCTACCTTTAGGAAAATTCTGTAAAAAAAAAAAAGATGCACACAGCGGCTGGGCTTCAGAATTCGTTGCTAAACGACTTAATTAACTGAAATTATTTTTGTATTCCACCTTTCCTTACAATTTTTAAAAATTTATAATTAAAATTATCAGAGAATGGGGTTTGGTATAAAGATATAATACATTATATGTTCACACAATTCATTTGTAACCTGTCTCTGCACTTTTTTTTTTTTTACAAGTCGGCCGTCTCCCACCGAGGCAGGGTGACCCAAAAGAGAAAGAAAATCCCCAAAAAGAAAATACTTTCATCATTCAACACTTTCACCACACTCGCACATTATCACTGTTTTTGCAGAGGTGCTCAGAATACAACAGTTTAGAAGCATACACATATAAAGATACACAACATATCCCTCCAAACTGCCAATATCCCAAACCCCTCCTTTAAAGTGCAGGCATTGTACTTCCCATTTCCAGGACTCAAGTCCGACTATATGAAAATAACTGGTTTCCCTGAATCCCTTCACTAAATATTACCCTGCTCACACTCCAACAGATCGTCAGGTCCCAAATACCATTCGTCTCCATTCACTCCTATCTAACACGATCATGCACGCTTGCTGGAAGTCCAAGCCCCTCGCCCACTAAACCTCCTTTACCCCCTCCCTCCAACCTTTTCGAGGACGACCCCTACCCCGCCTTCCTTCCCCTACAGATTTATACGCTCTCCATGCCATTCTACTTTGATCCATTCTCTTTAAATGACCAAACCACCTCTGACTAATACTTTTATTAACTCCACACCTTCACCTAATTACATTATCATTTAAATATAGACCTACTTTATCTATTATTGAACCTTTTACAAATTTTTCTTTTAACAATTTAATTTCATCTCTATCCATTTATTAACACTGTTAGATTATAACAATAATAAATATTTACCGTTCCATTTAGTTATTAATTATTACAGCGTGCTGAAAATTTCCAGCCTAGACAGGACTCGCAGCAATGTTTTCAAGTTGGAAAAATTCAGATTCAGGAAGGATATAGGAAAGTACTGGTTTGGTAATAGTTGTGGATGAGTGGAACAAGTACCCGAGTACAGTTATAGAGGCCAGGACGTTGTGTAGTTTTAAAAATAGGTTAGATAAATACATGAGTGGGTGTGGGTGGGTGAGTTGGACCTGACTAGCTTGTGCTGCTGGGTCTGGTACAGTGCTCCATCCTTGAGTGGGGGTGATCAGACTGGGTAGGTCATTGGGATAATCCGGGGGGGGGGACATGAACCTGCTCCGCATGGGTTAGTAGGCCTGTTGCAGTGTTCCTTCTTTCTTATGTTCTTATATATTTCATGGCCTCCTGCTGTTTTTAAGAGTGATACCACATTTCCTTAACATACCCTGTACAAATGAAGTATAATCACTCCCTATTAGAAGATTTATTGGCCCCACTGAGTCATTATTTGCACAAGTGCCAATTCTACACCGTTTTTTTTACAAGTCGGTATTAGGACTGAAGAAGCCACTCGTGGCGAAACGTTTCATTTAATAAATGTCCTGAACTGTACATAAGTGTCTTTTTCCACACCTATTGTAGAGATATTCTGTGGAAGCCTTTCAACTGTAACTGCATTGCTACGTTTTGTCTCATTCCCGATATTTACATAAACAGTGTCGTACAACTGGGTCCTTCTATCTGACAGAAAACCAGATAATCTTAAATTTGTAGGATCCACCCTCCTGCACTTTCATACCAATAAGGCAGCTACGTTTTAGGAATGTGCGTTGAGATCCCTGGTCCAATTATGCAGTTACATTTTTTGATTTACGCCTTTTATCCCGAATTTTTACATTCACCACAGGTAAGGCTACTTCTGCTATGCCATCATCACTAACAGCTGCAATTTTTACATTAGTAACTGTTGTTTCAGTGTTAACATCATTATCATGATAGCCATTATCATTATAATTATCATTTTACAAAGCCTTATACATTATTACATGATGCCTTCCTGTGTGGTATTGATAACCATTATTCAGTTTGGCATAACAGTCCTTTACATTATGACTGCCTAAACATCTGATACATCTGTCAAGTTCTTCCAACCTTTTAACCCTAACATCCCATGAATCATAAGCATTACAAGTCTTGATATGTGCCTATGCAACCATTTTTATAGGATGAATTATGAAGATTATTAATATTACGATATTTTTTCCATTTGTGAGACCTGACAGGTACATCATAGTCATCATGTGTTACATTCTTAGAATTATATGGCTGGGTTGTCTGTAATTGAACAATTAATTCTTGTAGACCTGATTTTATTTCATCCAGAGAAAAATAACCTTTGTGGTATTTATAAGATATCCACTCTAAAGTCTTGCAGCCCAATTTATTGTGTAAGACAGCACTTAATATCAAGTCTCATTCACCCAAATCAAACTTATTACTCATGGGCTTAGGAGTGCTTTCTGATTTCACCCTAAATTGTAGCAAATTATGATAATTGTGTTCTGGAGTTCTTAGATTAATCACAATATTTACTAGGTCTAACCTACTTTGATCCCTATTACCATAGGTCACCTATAACAAGTTAACTGCCTCCAGATAACTAGAGTCAATATTTGGGAACCCTTGAATCAGGGCATAAGCATTGCTTCTGGCCTGCCCTTTGAAATAAAATAATTTTGTGACAACTGCTAGGTCATTCCTCACATGTACAGCAGCCTCAAATACTGACCAGAATTCCTTCCAGTTGTCTCCTGGATTAAATGTTGGTAGACTTAACTCTGGGAGTTTGGGCAAAGATCTGGGATATACATTTCTAGATTGATCAACTGAAGTATTTACACATTTTATTTAATCTCTCACTTTTACATGATAGTATTTTCTCTTCTAGTTCATAATATTGATTAATTAATAATTCCCTTTCAGTATCATCTGCACAACTCACCAGCAGGTCACCTTCATACCTATTCTCTAATAATTCCATATATAATTCTAAATGAGCCTTATTCAATTTCATCTGCCACCAATTCCAGGCATTTATTGTAGGTTCTGGTCATTAGGTAAGACACATATGCAACAGTTAGGTATCTTTATTATGAAACGTTTCGCCTACACAGTAGGCTTCTTCAGTCAAGTACAGAAAAGTTGATAGAAGCAGAAGATACTTGAAGACGATGTAATCAGTCCATCACCCTTAAAGTTTTGAGGTGGTCAGTCCCTCAGTCTGGAGAAGAGCATTGTTCCATAGTATGAAACAATATGGAGAAGAAGTGACAGGATGGAGCTTTTATAGCGCCAAGAGGTGAGACGTAGGCCACTAGGAGAGGTAAGAACTCAGATGTTGAGAGGTCAGGTCCCTCTCAAATCCAGCCCCTCTCACTAGTGGAAGTTGTCGAAGTTGATTGCAGGTCTGTACCAAGATACCCTTGTGTTGCAGTGTCTATCAACTTTTCTGTACTTGACTGAAGAAGCCTACTGTGTAGGCGAAACGTTTCATAATAAAGATACCTAACTGTTGCATATGTGTCTTACCTAACAACCTGTCGGTATTTTATACCATTTTATTGTTCAGGTTCTGGTCACATGACCTTTTTTGCTTTTAATGAGGCCTTTATGGCCTTAATTCCCATAGACTTATCTGCATTAATTACATTACCTTCATCCATGGCTCCTTATGTATTAGACTCAATTAATGAACACTGGTTATACAAATTATACAATGAGACACTGGTATAAATATTACAATATGCACCAAATATTACCTGGCTTAGCAGAATAATTATAATTATTATAATATGCACCAAATATCCTAGCCAAATATTTCCTGGCTTAGCAAAAAAATTATAATTATTATATGAACCAAATATAGTAGCCAAATATTTCCTGGCTTAACAAAATAATTATAATTACTATTATAATCAGAAAGAAGACAATTTTCATTCCTAGCCCTAACTGGGCTTAGCAAATTAACAATTATAGCAATTACAATCCTAGCCTCACTGAGCATAGCAATTAATTTATATAATTGCACAACTCCATTTATACTACGAATGTATAAGAAATAATTCCAGCCCCACTGGGCATGCAAATCCAAGTAATTGTGGCAACTGTAATCCATTACACAAACGCCATTAATTTATTATTATTATTATTATTATTATTAATTATTATTATTATCACACTGGCCGATTCCCACCAAGGCAGGGTGGCCCGAAAAAGAAAAACTTTCACCATCATTCACTCCACTCTTGCCAGAAGGGTGCTTTACACTACAGTTTTTAAACTGCAACATTAACACCCCTCCTTCAGAGTGCAGGCACTGTACTTCCCATCTCCAGGACTCAAGTCCGGCCTGCCGGTTTCCCTGAACCCCTTCATAAATGTTACTTAACTCACACTCCAACAGCACGTCAAGTATTAAAAACCATTTGTCTCCATTCACTCCTATCAAACACGCCCACGCATGCCTGCTGGAAGTCCAAGCCCCTCGCACACAAAACCTCCTTTACCCCCTCCCTCCAACCTTTCCTAGGCCGACCCCTACCCCGCCTTTCTTCCACTACAGACTGATACACTCTTGAAGTCACTCTGTTTCGCTCCATTCTCTCTACATGTCCGAACCACCTCAACAACCCTTCCTCAGCCCTCTGGACAACAGTTTTGGTAATCCCGCACCTCCTCCTAACTTCCAAACTACGAATTCTCTGCATTATATTCACACCACACATTGCCCTCAGACATGACATCTCCACTGCCTCCAGCCTTCTCCTCGCTGCAACATTCATCACCCATTTAATTGTTTCCAATTATATGTGAACCCAGCAATCCATTATTTTCAACCAAATCTTTAAATTAATTTTTTCCTGATTACATATCAGAGTTCGTTAGGACCAAAGGCCTATTGTGAATTATTATTGAGTAAATTACCTGCATGAGACTTACAGAGTATTACCTGAATTATTACATGCAAGTAATTTGGGTGAAGCAAGTGGGACTTGGTCACAGTAGGTCACTGAACTGTAGCTCCCTCGACTGCCCACTTCGTCACTCACACAAAAAGCTAGACCTGACATTAAATTAATAATTATAATATTAAAACCAGCTACTCTGGTAATTGAAGTTGTGGACTGTATACAATTAGGCTTAATGGGTACACAAAATATAATTGGTATTAACACTTACCATTTAATTACTGAAGATGGATCACACCTCAACACCTGCCGAACACCTAGACCCAACACTGGCCAGCTAGAGATATAATGCAAGGACTAATGGTGCACTTCCCTTATCTTCTGCCATCCACATGTAATTCTTGAGGTCCTGCAAATTCTTGTCACAGTTCTTCAGCAGGGAACATTAACACGTGTTCCAAATTACAAATGCAGGCAGAAAACCCCCAACTGACCTTCGAGAACTCCGGATCACATTGCAAAACTCAGTCCCTAGTTCACATATTAAATTCAGTACGGCGCCTCTGCCCACAATCATTGTGATACAGTTTACATTTCATATTTTAAACAAAAGCATATGAACTACCTTTATCCCCAACACATTTATTAAAAACACTTTTTTTTTAGATTTAATTCTGAATAATTTTTGAAAGCTTAGTTGATAACTTTAAAATATAATTCTTATTATTGTTAAATAGTATTATATATTCACTTTTTTTTAGCAAAAACAAACACAGTGAGAATGTTAGTTTCCCCTCAGGTTGTGTGTACAGACGGGGAGTTCAAGTGTGCCATTAACAACAAGTGCATAAATCTGGACTGGAGGTGTGATGGAGATAATGACTGTCAGGATTCAAGTGACGAAAGTGGCTGTAGCCAGGTAAGTAGGAGCTCAAGACAGCACTTTAAACATGACTTATCTGATGCATCATGTAAATAGTATCTGTTGTTTGACACATCGGGGAAGTGGTACAACAACACCCTAGTGTATGACACGCATGAGTGGTGCAACAACACCCTAGTGTATGACACGGTGAGTGGTACAACAACACACTGGTGTATGACACGGGTGACTGGTGCAACAACACCCTAGTGTATGACACGCATGAGTGGTGCAACAACACCCTAGTGTATGACACGCATGAGTGGTGCAACAACACCCTAGTGTATGACACGGTGAGTGGTACAACAACACACTGGTGTATGACGCGGGTGACTGGTGCAACAACACCCTAGTGTATGACACGCATGAGTGGTGCAACAACACCCTAGTGTATGACACGGTGAGTGGTACAACAACACACTGGTGTATGACACGGGTCAGTGGTTCAACAACACTGGTGTATGACAGAGTGGTAGCACACTGGTGTATGACACAAGGTGAGTGATAGCTCCATGGTGTATGACAGGGTGACGGGTAGCACCATGGTGTATGACACAGGGTGAGTGGTGGCACCCTGGTGTATGACACAAGGTGAGTGGTAGCACTGGTGTATGACGCGGTAAGTGGTAGCACGCTGGTGTATGATACAGGGTAAGTGGTAGCACACTGGTGTATTACACAGGGTGAGCGGTAGCACTCTGGTGTATTACACAGGGTGAGCTGTAGCACTCTGGTGTATTACACAGTGAGTGGTAGCACCCTGGTGTATTACACAGTGAGTGGTAGCACCCTGGTGTATTACACAGGGTGAGTGGTAGCACACTGGTGTATGACACAGGGTGAGTGGTAGCACCCTGGTGTATTACACAGTGAGTGGTAGCACCCTGGTGTATTACACAGGGTGAGTGGTAGCACACTGGTGTATGACACAGGGTGAGTGGTAGCACCCTGGTGTATTACACAGGGTGAGTAACACACTGGTGTATTACACAAGGAGAGTGGTAGCACCCTGGTGTATTACACAGGGTGAGTGGTAGCACCCTGGTGTATTACACAGGGTGAATGGTAGCACACTGGTGTATGACACAGGCTGAGTGGTAGCACACTGGTGTATGACACAGGCTGAGTGGTAGCACATTGGTGTATGACACAGGGTGAGTGGTAGCACATTGGTGTATGACACAGGCTGAGTGGTAGCACACTGGTGTATGACACAGGCTGAGTGGTAGCACACTGGTGTATGACACAGGGTGAGTGGTAGCACACTGGTGTATGACACAGGGTGAGTGGTAGCACACTGGTGTATGACACAGGCTGAGTGGTAGCACACTGGTGTATGACACAGGGTGAGTCGTAGCACACTGGTGTATGACACAGGGTGAGTGGTAGCACATTGGTGTATGACACAGGGTGAGTGGTAGCACATTGGTGTATGACACAGGCTGAGTGGTAGCACACTGGTGTATGACACAGGCTGAGTGGTAGCACATTGGTGTATTACACAGGGTGAGTGGTAGCACACTGGTGTATGACACAGGCTGAGTGGTAGCACACTGGTGTATGACACAGGGTGAGTGGTAGCACACTGGTGTATGACACAGGGTGAGTGGTAGCACACTGGTGTATGACACAGGCTGAGTGGTAGCACACTGGTGTATGACACAGGGTGAGTCGTAGCACACTGGTGTATTACACAGGGTGATAAATTAGACACATGTGCAACTCTTGGGTATCTTTATTGAGGAAACGTTTCGCCACACAGTGGCTTCATCAGTCCATACAAAGGAGAATCTTGAAGAACAGGAGGAGAATGAGGTAATCAGTCCCTCAACCTTGAGTCGATGTGGTCAGTCCATCAATTTTGAATAGAATACAGCATACGTGCGGAGAAGGAGCTTATAAACCGTTGGTAGGAGAGGTGCAGCAGTCATAGGTGGTGTCACATTTGTTCAACAAATGTGACATGTCGGTTCTCTGAACCATTCATCTACAAACCTGTCAGACACTGCAACTTCTTGGGATCTTAATACTTGGGAATTCTTCGCTTGCCTAATTCTTGGGCACAACCTACTTCAACATTGAACAAATGTTACACGACCTATGACTACTGCACCTCTCCTGCCAACGGTTTATAAGCTCCTTCTCCGCACGTATGCTGTATTCTATTCAAAATTGATGGACTGACCACATCGACTCAAGGTTCTCCTTTGTATGGACTGATGAAGCCACTGTGTGGCGAAACGTTTCCTCAATAAAGATACCCAAGAGTTGCACATGTGTCTAATTTATCAACATGTCGGTTCTCTGAACCATTCATCTGCATTACACAGGGTGAGTGGTATTACACAGGGTGAGTGGTATTACACAGGGTGAGTGGTATTACACAGGGTGAGTGGTAGCATACTGATGTATTACACAGGGTGAGTGGTATTACACAGGGTGAGTGGTATTACACAGGGTGAGTGGTAGCACAATGATGTATTACACAGGGTGAGTGGTACCACACTGATGTATTACACAGGGTGAGTGGTAGCACACTGATGTATTACACAGGGTGAGTGGTAGCACACTGATGTATTACACAGGGTGAGTGGTAGCACACTGGTGTATTTACAGTACTATTCAACACTTGGACCTTCCTTGCATAGGCCAATAAGCATTGTATGTTTTTATGTATTGAAGGATGAATTCTTAAAGAAATGGAACTTGTGTTGGTAAGTTCTTGGTGACAATGCGAAATTGACAGTGAGTGAGCTTGTCGTACCATAAATGAGCCTGTGTTAGAACGAATGTGCGACTGCCTTCGTCTTTTACTATTTCAGGGATACTACGTCACTCATACCTAAGCCTGCGTTAATTCGTCTTCAGCCTATAATAATAACCTTTATTTCAACAAGTACATGATACAACTTACACAGACCATAGCTGACATCAGTCAGTCATGGGCTGTAGAAAGCCCCGAGTTATGCAGAGCATTTCGGGCAGATTAGGTCAATTTTGTCTCCAGGATGTTACCCATACCGGTCGGCTAACATCCTGATACCTATTTACTGCTAGGTGTACAGGGACAGCAGGTGTCTTAAGGAAACACGCCCGAATGTTTCCACCTGTACTGGGGATCGAACCACGGACATTGTGTAGAATAGAGGATGTCTGTGGGTTATGGCTGATTAGGTTAGCGATCCTTCTCAAGTTATTAGATCCAGACTAGAAACCTGCTGCATCATTCCTTGCCTCAGTGACCCTGCACAAGTGTTAAAATTTTGAAGCCGATTTAATGAGACATTCTCCAGTTACCAGCAAAATAAAAAAGGGAAGTTTGAGAAAGAAAAGAGAAAACAGTTAAAACAATTCAGGAATCCTCCTTAAGGTTCCCTTCGGGGATACCAAATTAACTGGTTACATGGATGTTCGTCTTAACTTCGGACAAAGCAAAATAGTTGAGAATTTGAAATGAGAATAGAATAAAAATTGTATTCCACATTACACCATGTTGTTTTAAAATGAGGGTTTCTCATATAATTAATCTACTCGCTGTTTATTCTGTGCTACTTCAGAATCTGGTTCTTGCAGGTATCATGTACAGAAAATACGTTTAAGTGTTTATCAAAAGATAAATGCATACCTCTTTCCTGGAAGTGCGATGGAACAGGTGATTGTCCAGATTCCAGTGATGAAGTCGGCTGTTCTAAGGTACGTTGTACACTGTAAGTTAATCTACAGAGCTAAATAAGCAAGTAAGTTTATTCAGGTATACACAAATACAGTTACATAGATTATCATACATAGCATATGTGTAGAGAACCTAGGATAACCCAAAAAAAAATCAGACAGAGTGACTTATTACCATATGCTTTGGAGATACATTCTTAGAGCTGTGAGATAAGACACGTATAGTTCCAGAATAGTTATCGAGAGGTGTTTTTCCTGGGGAGTTTTTGTCAGTCCAGTGTAGGAATGAGAATAAGCAAATTATGTAATGGTTAAAAGAAGGCGAGGTCTGGTGCAGAGGAGCTGGTCTGCTACCCGTCTAATAACAGTGTTTGCTGCGTTGAAATTAGTTTAGCCAAGACTTGAGAAACGATGTAGGTGTCAGTGTTGTGGACGACAGTGTTGATTACAATCCTTGCACTTAACAGACATGGCTATTAAATAGGTCCTCTTCATTGGTAAGTCTGGCCTCATTAAACTTAATAAGGTGATTGTGGGAGTTATGGTAAATGAAGACTTAGACATATGCAATATCTGGGTATCTTTATTCTGTAAACGTTTCGCCAAGCACTGGCTTTATCAGTACACTACAAAAGACTGAGGAGGTTGAAGATTGAAGATGAGGTAATCAGGGTCCCAGCCTAAGAGTAGGCAGCAAGAAGTGAGCTTGTATACTGGAGTCAGATAAACTGAAGGCATCGTCACTGGTAAGCGGTATTCCCTAGTTTAAGCAGGTCATACCCAGGGATGGACCAGGAGTAGGCAAGATTACATGATGTTGCTGTGTCTAATATGTTGTACTATATGGTATACAATCCTGACAAGATGAAGAATGAGACACCTGTCTAATTCTTCATCTTCTCGGTATTGTATACGACTCGTATACATCCTGACAATGTATATATATCATGTTGTCGGTATTGTATACCACTGGTACAGTTATGATAGATGACATAGAGTAAGAAGTTACTCTGTTAAGTACCCAGTAATCCCAGACCAGCGTTTATGTACGGACTACCAAAAATTTACAAATATAATATTTCATAAGAGAACTGACTATATATGCAGTGAGTTTCATAAAAGATGACCGTATATACGAGTTTCGCAAGGAAACTAACGATATATATATATATAATATATATATATAATATATATATATATATATATATATATATATATATATATATATATATATATATTGTGGGGTCCACCTCTGGTGTAAATTGTGGGACCCATAGCCTCGGAGAAGTGGATAAAAAGGCTTCAAGGAAGAATATTTGGATTTCTTCCTGAAGCCATTTGAATATATATATATATATATATATATATATAATATATATATATATATATATATATATATATATATATTCTTTCTTTCAACATACCAGCCGTATCCCACCGAGGCAGGGTGGCCCAAAAGAAAAAACTAAAGTTTCTCTTTTAAATTTAGTAATATATACAGGAGAAGGGGTTACTAGCCCCTTGCTCCCGGCATTTTAGTCGCCTCTTACAACACGCATGGCTTACGGAGGAAGAATTCTGTTCCACTTCCCCATGGAGGTAAGAGGAAATAAACAAGAACAAGAACTAGAAAGAAAATAGAAGAAAACCCAGAGGGGTGTGTGTGTGTATATATATGCTTGTACATGTATGTGTAGTGTGACCTAAATGCAAGTAGAAGTAGCAAGACATACCTGAAATCTTGCATGTTTATGAGACAGACAAAAGACACCAGCAATCCTACCATCATGTAAAACAATTACAGGCTTTCGTTGTACACTCACTTGGCAGGACGGTAGTACCTCCCTGGGTGGTTGCTGTTTACCAACCTACTACCTAGATATATATATATATATATATATATATATATATATAATATATATATATATATATATATATCTTTCTTCTTTCTTTCAACACACCGGCCGCATCCCACCGAGGCGGGGTGGCCCAAAAGGAAAAACGAAAGTTTCTCCTTTTACATTTAGTAATATATACAGGAGAAGAGGTTACTAGCCCCTTGCTCCCGGCATTTTAGTTGCCTCTTACAACACGCATGGCTTACGGAGGAAGAATTCTGTTCCACTTCCCCATGGAGATAAGAGGAAATAAACAAGAATAGGAACTAGAAAGAAAATAGAAGAAAACCCAGAGGGGTGTGTATATATGTGCTTGTACATGTATGTGTAGTGTGACCTAAGTGTAAGTAGAAATAGCAAGACGTACCTGAAATCTTGCATGTTTATGAGACAGAAAAAAGGACACCAGCAATCCTACCATCATGTAAAACAATTACAGGCTTTCGTTTTACATTCACTTGGCAGGACGGTAGTACCTCCCTGGGTGGTTGCTGTTTACCAACCTACTACCTAGATATATATATATATATATATATATATTTTATATATATATATATTATATATATATATATATATATATATATATATATATTTACACATACCTACAACAGACTGGCACAGAGATAAACTAAATGCATTTTTTTCTTATACAGCCTGTTTGTGGTGAAGATTATTTTCAGTGTTTATCGGACGAGACGTGTGTGCACAAACACTGGCAGTGTGATGGTGAAGATGATTGTAATGATGCAAGTGATGAATCTGGCTGTAATGCTACACAGGTAAGTGGTGACAACATTAGTGGTGATCTGCGTATTTGCAGCTCAGAGTTCATAGATGAAATTTTGATTATTTATGAAAAAGCTAATGATTTAAAATTCCCCCCAAAAATCATTGATAAATCTTTTAAAATTGTCATTAGTACATTTTACAAATGGAAACCCTTCTTGATATACCTTCTATACTTAAGAATTTTAAAATCTAAGTTGTATTTAAAAATCTTTTTTGTCGGCCGTCTCCCACCGAGGCAGGGTGACCCAAAAAAGAAAATCCCCAAAAAGTTAATACTTTCATCATCATTCAACACTTTCACCTCACTCACACTGATGCTTGTGTGTATAACATTTTCTGTAAAAGAAATCAATAGTTTATTACGGTCAGAAGTCTTGAATTAAGATTACAACAATATAAATATAGCACTGATAGAGTGAACACATCATCTGCAGGATGAGGGACTGATAACCTCAACTGCTTCTCATCTTCCACCGTCCTTTTCTGTATTGGACTGAAGAAGCTGCTACTGGCGAAACGTTTCCACAATAAAGACTCCCAAATGTTGCACAAGTGTCTCACTCTTCAACTAGTCGTTTTCTAAACCATTTACATCATATAATGACCCTCCACTGGAGCTTTTGGTCATCTGATCGAGTCCTTCCACTGGCTTACCCGTCCACCCCACGTCCCTTTAATAATTAAGGCTATAATTATAACCTTTCGAAACTACCTTTCCTGACTTTTAAGTTTTGAAAACAAGGTGGAAATGTTGCAGTTTATGATGCATACCTGGAGGTTATTCCGGGGATCAACGCCCCCGCGGCCCGGTCCATGACCAGGCCTCCCGATGGATCAGGGCCTGATCAACTAGGCTGTTACTGCTGGCCGCACGCAGTCCAACGTACGAGCCACAGCCCGGCTAATCCGGCACTGACTTTAGGTATCTGTCCAGCTCTCTCTTGAAGGCAGCCAGGGGTTTATTGGTAATTCCCCTAATGCTTGATGGGAGGCTGTTGAACAGTCTTGGGCCCCAGACACTTATGGTGTTTTAGTGTACCAATGGCGCCCCTACTTTTTATTGGCGGCATTTTACATCGCCTGCCCAGTCTTTTACTTTCGTAGGGAGTGATTTCTGTGTGCAGATTTGGGACCATTCCTTCCAGGATATTCCAAGTGTAGATTATGATATCTCTCTCCCTCCTGCGTTCCAACGAGTACAAGTCAAGTGCTTCCAAGCGTTCCCAGTAGTTAAGGTGCTTGACAGAACTTATACGTGCAGTAAAGGATCTCTGTACACTCTCTAGATCTGCGATTTCACCTGCTTTGAATGGAGATGTTAATGTACAGCAGTATTCCAGCCTAGAGAGAAAAGGTGATTTGAAAAGGATCATCATGGGCTTGGCATCTCTCGTTTTGAACGTTCTCATTATCCATCCTATCATTTTCTTTGCACTTGTGATCGTGGCACTGTTGTGATCCTTGAAGGTGAGATCCTCAGACATTATTAATCCCAGGTCCCTTACATTATTTTTCCGCTCTATTGTATGGCCAGAGTTTGTAGTATACTCTGTTCTAGTTATTATCTCCAGTTTTCCATAACGGAGTAGTTGGAATTTGTCCTCATTGAACATCATATTGTTTTCCGTTGCCCACTGGAAAACTTTGTTTATATCTTCTTGGAGGTTAACCGCGTCCTCAGCAGATGACAGCCTCATGCAGATCCTAGTATCATCCGCAAAGGATGATACGGTGCTGTGATGTATATCTCTGTCTATGTCTGATATGAGGATGAGAAATAAGATGGGGTCGAGTACTGTGCCATGTGGAACAGAGCTCTTCACTATGGCAGCCTCCGATTTAACTCTGTTGACCACTACTCTTTGTGTTCGATTTGTTGAAGTTGAAGATCCATCTCCCCACTTTCCCAGTTATTCCCTTAGCACGTATTTTGTGCGCTATTACGCCATGATCGCATTTGTCAAACGCTTTTGTAAAGCCTGTGTGTATTACATCTGCATTCTGATTTTCTTCCAGTGCATCCAAGGCCATATCATATTGATCCAGTAGTTGTGAGAGGCAGGAGCGACCTGCCCTGAACCCATGTTGCCCTGGATTGTGCGGATTTTGGGAATCCAGGTGATTTGCAATCCTGCTTCTTAGCACTCTTTCAAAGATTTTTATGATGTGGGACGTCAGAGCTATTGGTCTATAGTTCTTAGCTAATGCTTTGCTGCCACCTTTATGGAGTGGGGTTATATCCGTTGTTTTAAGTGACTGTTGAATTTCACCCATGTCCAAGCTCCTCCTCCATAGTGTACTTAGGGCACGCGAGAGGGGTTTCTTGCAGTTCTTAATGAAAACAGAGTTCCACGAGTCTGGGCCCGGGGTCGAGTGCGTGGGTATGTTGTCAATGGCTTTTTCGAAATCTATCGGAGTTAGGGTGTTGTCGGAAATCTGGCATACATTTATGGAGTTTTGAGGCTCATTCATGAAGGAATCATTTGGGTCGTCGATCCTCAGACTGATTAGTGACTCACTAAACACAGAGTCGTACTGGGATTTCAGTATTTCACTCATAGAGCAAGAGACGGCACTTTAATTGTGGTAAACAGCCAATGTGTTATTCACGAAATCGTAATGACACGATTGCAAATAAACCACACCACGGGTGGGGTTTGAACCCCACCTGTGGTATGGTGTGGGTTTGTGTGTGTGTGTGTGTGTGTGTGTGTGTGTGTGTGTGTGTGTGTTAGAAAAGTTCGTCTAGCATGTCATAATTTATGAGCATTTCATGTAATATAAAATTTTCTTGCTTGAAGAAATATTTCTTAGAATCTTGTTTATTCCGTATATCCTCAGGTTGTGTGTGGCGAAACCGAATTCCGTTGTTTGTCTCAAGCCGAGTGTATTCCACAAGTCCGAGTCTGCGATGGTACCAATGACTGCCAGGACAAAACTGATGAAGCGCGGTGTCCCAGTCTGTCTGATCAAGAATCTCCCACTGATCCACTTAATCAGTCCATGACTGATTTCCTTACTGAATCTTTAACTAATATTCTTACCGAATCTCTAAGAGATATGATTTTAAAATCTGCGACTGAACTGCCCATAAAATCTGTGACCGATCTGCCTATTCAGTTTGCAACTGATCCGCTCACTGAATCTGTGACAGATCTACCTGTCGAATCTGTGACAGATCTACCTGTCGAATCTGTGACAGATCTACCTGTCGAATCTGTGACAGATCTACCTGTCGAGTATGTGACAGACCTACCTATCGAATCTGTGACAGACCTACCTATCGAATCTGTGAGAGACCTACCAATCGAATCTATGACAGACCTACCTATCGAATCTGTGAGAGACCTACCAATCGAATCTATGACAGACCTACCTGTTGAATCTGTGAGAGACCTACCAATCGAATCTATGACAGACCTACCTATTGAATCAGTAACTGACCTGCCTACTGAATTATTGACTGACTTGCCCACTATGTCTGATACAGCGTTACTCACCGAGCCACCTAATGAAATACACAGTGGATCACTGACAGAATCTTCAACGAATCTCGCATTTGAAAATCCTATATGGGGGCCCATAAACCGTCCTTCAGTTTTATTAGCAGCCGAGGCTTATCCTAATGTAAGTTTAATTCCCCATGTTAAAAGTTAAACTATGTTTATAGAGCTTTCATGCCGTAGCTTTTATTAGTAATGCTTCATGTTACATACTTTTCTCATTATGTTAATGTAAAAATTAATAATTTTGTACCAAAAGAACTTGCCTAACTATTATAACAAACGCAATTTAATTTACCCTAATCCAGCTAATTATATTTTAGATAAGTTCACAGTAATTCAATATATTCAACTCTTATAAAGTTGATATATGGTTGTGAAACATTTTGGTATTAAAATAAAGAAGCCTGAGAGGTTGAAAGACGACGAGAGTTTCAGGAAGTATTCTCTTGTGACAATTTCTTCATACTGAACTGGCAGTTTTTATTTTGACTACATATATGTAAGGAGGGGGATGGGTGAGGCGCTCACAAAACCTGCCAGGAAGCATTGCAAGAGTTTTTCACCGTCACAGTTGTATCTTTTTCTGAATAGTATTTCGAAGAGTCTCTGGTGCTAGGTTGTGCATGTGTTCAGTGCTCCTGGCAGCTGCTCTCAGCTCTTGTCTCGCCCTCAACACACAGTTCACCACAAGGGTCTTCAGTCCACTTTGCAAACTGCTCCGATCACGTACAAATGTATATTGCAAACATGGATTTACAGATGGGAACGATACATTGCATAATAGTAAATTCACATAAATCGAGACCGCATAAAGCGGAACATGTTTTTTTAGGTCAAAAAATAAACACGTTCTCGGTCTATTTTAGTTATTTTCCTGTGAGATTTTTTCATATTTGGTATGAGTAAATTTATTGTGATGCACAGTCTTCTGTATTCGAGTGAATAAAATAATTTTTTAGGTGATTCCGAAGGAGGACCGAGAAGTGACCTGGATTTGTTTTCTCTTTCTTTTTTCTTCTCCCTTCAACTTATCGTTTTATTTCGTTCATAACTCGAGAACGCCTCATCCGATCTTCTTCAGATTTTCAACACTTGTGTACGGTAACGAGTACCAGATTCTTGGATATACTTGGCACTGTGTCCAAGGTTGTTGAACTCATTCCCAGCATCCTGGAATGGCTGAGAGAACTTCCAAAACTCTCAATAGCGTAGCGTAGTGAATGTGTTGCTGCAGATTTGACCATTTTGTGTGTAAAATACTACTCTGAAAATTTTATTCCCTTTATATCATGTTAATTAATTTCTCAGTTTACCTCCTCTTAACGGCCAGGATAGTATCTCTTTTTTTTTGCGTGCTGGCAAATTTGTCGACGTAGTAAAATAGTTAAAAAAAATGGAATCGGAGCCATAACTGGAAAATGACTCCTCTGATCGATTTCAAACTTTCACCACAGGTGTGATTTCCTGACCACAAGACTCACGCTGCTATTGGCTGCCATAAATCCCAGTTTGCCAGTTTTATCGAATAAATAGTGATACTTATTTTATTCAAATATCACATAGTTATATTGTCTTTCACTAATGTTACTAATTGCTAAAATTAAAAAAAAAATACTTTTCTATGAACTTATTTATATTATTTTTTGTAGGTCACCTGTAGAAAAGACCAATTTAAATGTTCATCACATAACAGATGTATAGACATAAGCTGGAGATGTGACACTGAATTTGACTGTCTAGACGGAAGCGATGAGGCTGACTGTGAGGCAAGTACAGTGTGTATTAATGTTGGTAGAATTAACTTTCTCAAAACTTAAGCTTGACACTTTAGCTTTGCATATTTTCGAATCCTTTTTATTTATACGTGTTTAAATTTTCGTGTTTGAAAAATTTCTAAATTGTCGTAGGCTGCTTTAGACCTCCCTAAAACCACCCTCAGGACACTGGACCGAAGAACCGAAGACCCTAGTTTGATTACTACTGGTCTAATATATATCTCCGAGGGGAAGGACCCTGATGAACGGCTCTTGATCCAAGGACTTCAAGTATCCCTTTCCTTCCTCGAATTAAATAAGTACATCCCCAACACCCCTATTGGTGCAACATGTCCCCTTAATTTTAATGTGCAAGTCTTATAATGATGTACATTGCCGCAGACTACATGCGCTGCTGAACAGTTCCGCTGCGACACTGGACTGTGTATCTCGGCCACATGGCAGTGTGACGGTGATGAAGACTGCTGGGACGGATCCGATGAACAAAACTGCACTGAGGTAATGTTTCTGTTAAATGCAGTAAGTACAGGATTTAAGAGTTTATCAAAATATTGCTAAAAAGAATTGCTAAAAATGTAAAAATTTCTAATTGATGTAATCAGTTTAATAAGTGTAATCATTCGTGCAAGCACAATTGCTGAAAACATGCTTCACGGTGTTACGAACATAAGAATGACGGAACACTGCAGCAGGCCTACTGGCCCATAAGTGTTGTATTTCCCTTTTTCTCCACTAGCGTATATAGTTACATAACAGTGTGTTCTTTGTCATAGGAACAATTTCACTTGATGTTGGACAAATATAAGTGCAGGACAAGTTTGTGTGAGGTGTTGTCACCTCTGAGTGAGGTGTTGTTACTTTCTCTGAGTGAGGTGTCACCTCAAGGTTTAACATATAAAATGTGGTTCCCTTGCTGCTGCTTCCTATTCCTCTGAAGATGTGTGTGTAAGCACATGAAAGCGCTCGGGTTTTATTTCCTGTTTTTACTGTGGTATTTTTACATAAGAGTATATTGTTTATTTGCTCCTGTAACTACCTAATTTTTATTAGTAAAATCATGTACTACTACCACCACCTCTTACATCTCTTCTAAGTCTTATAATTCATTTCTGAAGAAATGTTCTCTGGAATCTGATCATTTTTTGTTTTTGGTAACAATTGTGGCCCTTATTTCTTCCTGTCGATGGTGTTAAACCACTATTCTTTAAATCCTTTCATAATCCTCTGTGTTTGTTATGTCTGTTCTCTATATTCACGAGTCATTTTAACTATTTTAATCCTTTTATAATTCTTAGTTCCAGGTTCTATTTTATAAATCATCTTTCTTAGCTCCAGGTTCTATTTTGTATATCATCATTTTTAACTCCAGGTTCTATTTTGTATATCTATTTTAACTCAGGGTTCTATTTTGTAAATCGTCTTTTTTTTTTTTTACTCCAGGTTCGTTATATAACTGCTTTGATATTTATACATTTTAGCTTCGCGTTTTATTTAAGTATAAATGGCAGAGTACAGCTATATCTTTCAGTCTGATCGTATATCGTTATCTGATTGTTAATGGAATGATTTCAACACCCGAGGCTCAACAGTTTTCTTGCTTCAAATAAGAACATAAGAACGGAGGAACACTGCAGCAGGCCTACAAGGAACGTTCTTCTCCACTATCAGTTTCTTGTCACATCTCCACTACAGAATGCAACCTGCTGCTGCTGCTTTGCCATCTCACTATTTCAAATACTGATTACTTCGGTGATTAATAAATAAACCGGGATCTTTCAGTAGGAAAGATAGGAGATAAGCACAAGTGTCTGCTATGGCTTAGACGTTAAAAATGTAGAGTACAAGCCTATGATAAATTGTTAATTATGTTACAGATTATCTGCGTAGACAAGTTTCAGTGCTTATCAAGTCGTAAATGTATATCCAAGTTATGGCAGTGTGACAGAGATGTCGACTGTGAAGATGGAAGCGATGAAGCTGGCTGCCAGGTAAATATACATTAATAATACAGTATAATGAATAATATAACATGGGCCTTATTTATGGGCCCGGAAAAATGCTTAAAAATACCTTCCTTTGGCTAGAAACAGTGTATGCAAAGCTTTGTACATGAATGAAAGGATTCCCAATGGAAATAAGTCACTCTGACTTTTTTGGGTTATCCTAGGTTCTCTATACATATGCTGCTATGTATGATAATTCTATGTAACTGTATTTGTGTATACCTGAATAAACTTACTTATGATATACAGTACCGACAAGAATTACACACGTGCAGCATCTGGTTATTAGTAGACATTTCGCCATCCAGTACCTTTATCAGTACAATACAAGGAAGACTGTGCAAAGGTTTATTAGTCCTGCAAATTTTGCTATAGAACGTAGACATTAGACACCGCGAGTAGACTCTTCACTTTTAAGATATTATGTGTGACTTGTAAGAGTTTTCCCTGACGTAGACATGTGTGCTGCTGTTTAGTGTTGAACATTATACCAATAAGCATTGAAATTTTCAAAATCTCCCGACTTTCATTGCCCTTGTAAACACTTATAGAGAGCTTCCTGGGGCTGAGAAAACACTCGTGACAGTTGTTTGCTCAAGGATTAATTTCAGCCTCCTCCTGTTTGAATACCCACCTCCACAAGCCGTCTATAATAGCAATGAAACCACGAAACAAGTGGAGGAGGCTGAGATTAATCCTTGAGCATACAACTGCCATGAGTTTCCTCGCAACATGAAACAAGCCTAGTTCGCTAGGCTCATGTTGCCTTGAGGCGGGACAATATATATATAATTAACTTGGAACAATGTTCCAGACTGAGCAGAACTCTTCTCCAGGCTGAGGGACTGACCACCTCAAAACTGTCTTCGTGGGTGATGGACTGATAACATTACATCTCTGCTAATGCCGAGTCTTCGGTAGAATACATGCGTCTTACTGATCAACTTGTGTGTGTTGCATGCCATTATCAGTTCATACTTTGATAAGTAATGTTAAACTGCAAGTCAACATAAGAAAGACGATGCGAAATAACCACTGAAAAAAATAGAGAATTTTCAAGCACTTTCGTGATTTCTCACAATGTCCACAGTTCCTTAATAATGTGAGAAATAATGAAAACGCTTGGAAATTCACTGTTTTGTTCCACACTGGTTATTTCGCATATTGTGATAATACCCGCTTACTGTGATAAGATAAGATTTCGTTCGGATTTTTAACTCAGGAGGGTTAGCCACCCAGGATAACCCAAGAAAGTCAGTGCGTCATCGAGGACTGTCTAACTTATTTCCATTGGGGTCCTTAATCTTGTCCCCCAGGATGCGACCCACACCAGTCGACTAACACCCAGGTACCTATTTGCTGCTAGGTGAACAGGACAATAGGTGTAAGGAAACGTGTCGAAATGTATCCACCCGCCGGGAATCGAACCCGGGCCCTCCGTGTGTGAAGCGGGAGCTTTAGCCATCATAAGAAAAATTACATGTATTGAAACACTCAAAATTTTCTCGTGTGATATGAATAATTACACTTCCATTTTACACAGTTTGAGTGTCCTCCTGAGGCTTTCTACTGTGTCAACGGTCAATGTATCCCAGCCATGTTTCAGTGTGATGGCGGCGCTGACTGCGTCGACAGCAGTGATGAGCACAACTGCACGGTTTGTATATTTTGCTATACCTAATGTAGCTGTATAGCCCTTGTGGCTTAGCGCTTCTTTTTTATTATAATAATAATATACCTAGTGTAAAGTGTGTATATCAGTTCAAATTCAGAATGGTATTTATTAGATGTTTCTATTTTTTAATACTCTATTCTTGTGTGCCAGTTACATTGTTCTTCTCTTGTCTGCCAGTTACATTGTTATATTCTTGTCAGCCAGTTACATTGTTATATTCTTGTCTGCCAGTTGCATTGTTCTATTCTTGTGTGCCAGTTACATTGTTATATTCTTGTCAGCCAGTTACATTGTTATATTCTTGTCTGCCAGTTGCATTGTTATATTCTTGTCAGCTAGTTACATTGTTCTATTCTTGTCTGCCAGTTACATTGTTCTATTCTTGTCCGCCAGTTGCATTGTTATATTCTTGTCTGCCAGTTACATTGTTATATTCTTGTCTGCCAGTTACATTGTTATATTCTTGTCTGCCAGTTGCATTGTTATATTCTTGTCAGCCAGTTACATTGTTCTACTCTTGTCTGCCAGTTGCATTGTTATTCTTGTCTGCCAGTTGCATTGTTATATTCTTGTCTGCCAGTTACATTGTTATATTCTTGTCTGCCAGTTGCATTGTTATATTCTTGTCTGCCAGTTACATTGTTATATTCTTGTCTGCCAGTTGCATTGTTATATTCTTGTCTGCCAGTTACATTGTTATATTCTTGTCTGCCAGTTACATTGTTATATTCTTGTCTGCCAGTTGCATTTTTTATATTCTTGTCTGCCAGTTACATTGTTATATTCTTGTCTGCCAGTTGCATTGTTATATTCTTGTCTGCCAGTTACATTGTTATATTCTTGTCTGCCAGTTACATTGTTATATTCTTGTCAGCCAGTTGCATTGTTATATTCTTGTCTGCCAGTTGCATTGTTCTATTCTTGTCTGCCAGTTGCATTGTTATATTCTTGTCAGCTAGTTACATTGTTCTATTCTTGTCAGCCAGTTACATTGTTATATTCTTGTCTGCCAGTTACATTGTTATATTCTTGTCTGCCAGTTACATTGTTATATTCTTGTCAGCCAGTTACATTGTTATATTCTTGTCAGCCAGTTACATTGTTATATTCTTGTCTGCCAGTTACATTGTTCTATTCTTGTCTGCCAGTTACATTGTTATATTCTTGTCTGCCAGTTACATTGTTCTATTCTTGTCTGCCAGTTACATTGTTATATTCTTGTCTGCCAGTTACATTGTTCTATTCTTGTCTGCCAGTTACATTGTTATTATTCTTGTCTGCCAGTTACATTGTTCTATTCTTGTCTGCCAGTTACATTGTTATATTCTTGTCTGCCAGTTACATTGTTATATTCTTGTCAGCCAGTTACATTGTTATATTCTTGTCAGCCAGTTACATTGTTATATTCTTGTCAGCCAGTTGCATTGTTATATTCTTGTCAGCCAGTTACATTGTTATATTCTTGTCTGCCAGTTGCATTGTTCTATTCTTGTCTGCCAGTTGCATTGTTATATTCTTGTCAGCCAGTTACATTGTTATATTCTTGTCTGCCAGTTGCATTGTTATATTCTTGTCTGCCAGTTACATTGTTATATTCTTGTCTGCCAGTTGCATTGTTATATTCTTGTCAGCCAGTTACATTGTTATATTCTTGTCAGCCAGTTACATTGTTATATTCTTGTCTGCCAGTTGCATTGTTCTATTCTTGTCTGCCAGTTGCATTTTTATATTCTTGTCTGCCAGTTACATTGTTATATTATTGTCTGCCAGTTGCATTGTTATATTCTTGTCTGCCAGTTGCATTGTTCTATTCTTGTCAGCCAGTTGCAATATTATATTCTTGTCAGCCAGTTACATTGTTATATTCTTGTCTGCCAGTTGCATTGTTATATTCTTGTCTGCCAGTTGCATTGTTCTATTCTTGTCAGCCAGTTGCAATATTATATTCTTGTCAGCCAGTTACATTGTTCTATTCTTGTCAGCCAGTTGCAATATTATATTCTTGTCAGCTAGTTACATTGTTCTATTCTTGTCAGCCAGTTGCAATATTATATTCTTGTCAGCCAGTTACATTGTTCTATTCTTGTCAGCCAGTTGCAATATTATATTCTTGTCAGCCAGTTACATTGTTCTATTCTTGTCAGCCAGTTGCAATATTATATTCTTGTCAGCCAGTTACATTGTTCTATTCTTGTCAGCCAGTTGCAATATTATATTCTTGTCAGCCAGTTACATTGTTCTATTCTTGTCAGCCAGTTACATTGTTATATTCTTGTCAGCCAGTTACATTGTTATATTCTTGTCAGCCAGTTACATTGTTATATTCTTGTCTGCCAGTTGCATTGTTCTATTCTTGTCTGCCAGTTGCATTGTTATATTCTTGTCTGCCAGTTACATTGTTATATTCTTGTCTGCCAGTTACACTGTTATATTCTTGTCTGCCAGTTGCATTGTTATATTCTTGTTAGCCAGTTACATTGTTATATTCTTGTCTGCCAGTTGCATTGTTATATTCTTGTCTGCCAGTTACACTGTTATATTCTTGTCTGCCAGTTGCATTGTTATATTCTTGTCTGCCAGTTGCATTGTTCTATTCTTGTCAGCCAGTTACATTGTTATATTCTTGTCTGCCAGTTGCATTGTTATATTCTGGTCAGCTAGTTACATTGTTCTATTCTTGTCAGCCAGTTACGTTGTTATATTCTTGTCTGCCAGTTACATTGTTATATTATTGTCTGCCAGTTGCATTGTTATATTGTCAGTCAGTTACATTGTTCTATTCTTGTCAGCCAGTTACATTGTTATATTCTTGTCTGCCAGTTGCATTGTTATATTCTTGTCAGCTAGTTACATTGTTCTATTCTTGTCAGCCAGTTGCATTGTTATATTCTTGTCAGCCAGTTACATTGTTCTATTCTTGTCAGCCAGTTACATTGTTATATTCTTGTCAGCCAGTTACATTGTTATATTCTTGTCAGCCAGTTACATTGTTGTATTCTTGTCAGCCAGTTACATTATTCTATTCTTGTCAGCCAGTTACATTATATTCTTGTCTGCCAGTTACATTGTTCTATTCTTCTCAGCCAGTTACATTGTTATATTCTTGTCTGCCAGTTGCATTGTTATATTCTTGTCAGCTAGTTACATTGTTCTATTCTTGTCAGCCAGTTACATTGTTATATTCTTGTCTGCCAGTTACATTGTTCTATTCTTGTCAGCCAGTTACATTGTTATATTCTTGTCTGCCAGTTGCATTGTTCTATTCTTGTCTGCCAGTTGCATTGTTATATTCTTGTCAGCCAGTTACATTGTTATATTCTTGTCTGCCAGTTGCATTGTTATATTCTTGTCTGCCAGTTACATTGTTATATTCTTGTCAGCCAGTTGCATTGTTATATTCTTGTCAGCCAGTTACATTATTATATTCTTGTCTGCCAGTTACATTGCTATATTCTTGTCAGCCAGTTACATTGTTATATTCTTGTCTGCCAGTTGCATTGTTCTATTCTTGTCAACCAGTTACATTGTTCTATTCTTGTCAGCCAGTTACATTGTTATATTCTTGTCAGCCAGTTACATTGTTATATTCTTGTCAGCCAGTTACATTGTTATATTCTTGTCAGCCAGTTACATTGTTATATTCTTGTCAGCCGGTTACATTGTTCTATTCTTGTCAGCCAGTTACATTGTTATATTCTTGTCAGCCAGTTACATTGTTATATTCTTGTCAGCCAGTTACATTGTTATATTCTTGTCAGCCAGTTACATTGTTATATTCTTGTCAGCCGGTTACATTGTTCTATTCTTGTCAGCCAGTTACATTGTTATATTCTTGTCAGCCAGTTACATTGTTCTATTCTTGTCTGCCAGTTACATGTTCTATTCTTGTCTGCCAGTTACATTGTTCTATTTTATCTGCCAGTTACATTGTTCTATTCTTGTCAGCCAGTTACATTGTTATATTCTTGTCAGCCAGTTACATTGTTATATTCTTGTCAGCCAGTTACATTGTTATATTCTTTTCAGCCAGTTTCATTGTTCTATTCTTGTCAGCCAGTTACATTGTTCTATTCTTGTCAGCCAGTTACATTGTTATATTCTTGTCAGCCAGTTACATTGTTATATTCTTGTCAGCCAGTTACATTGTTCTATTCTTGTCAACCAGTTACATTGTTATATTCTTGTCAGCCAGTTGCATTGTTCTATTCTTGTCTGCCAGTTACATTGCTATATTCTTGTCAGCCAGTTACATTGCTATATTCTTGTCAGCCAGTTGCATTGTTATATTCTTGTCTGCCAGTTACATTGTTCTATTCTTGTCAGCCAGTTACATTGTTCTATTCTTGTCAGCCAGTTACATTGTTATATTCTTGTCAGCCAGTTACATTGTTGTATTCTTGTCAGCCAGTTACATTATTCTATTCTTGTCAGCCAGTTACATTATATTCTTGTCTGCCAGTTACATTGTTCTATTCTTCTCAGCCAGTTACATTGTTATATTCTTGTCTGCCAGTTGCATTGTTATATTCTTGTCAGCTAGTTACATTGTTCTATTCTTGTCAGCCAGTTACATTGTTATATTCTTGTCTGCCAGTTACATTGTTCTATTCTTGTCAGCCAGTTACATTGTTATATTCTTGTCTGCCAGTTGCATTGTTCTATTCTTGTCTGCCAGTTGCATTGTTATATTCTTGTCAGCCAGTTACATTGTTATATTCTTGTCTGCCAGTTGCATTGTTTATATTCTTGTCTGCAGTTACATTGTTATATTCTTGTCAGCCAGTTGCATTGTTATATTCTTGTCAGCCAGTTACATTATTAATATTCTTGTCTGCCAGTTACATTGCTATATTTCTTGTCATGCCAGTTACATTGTTATATTCTTGTCTGCCAGTTGCATTGTTCTATTCTTGTCAGCCAGTTACATTGTTCTATTCTTGTCAGCCAGTTACATTGTTCTATTCTTGTCAGCCAGTTACATTGTTATATTCTTGTCAGCCAGTTACATTGTTATATTCTTGTCAGCCAGTTACATTGTTATATTCTTGTCAGCCAGTTACATTGTTATATTCTTGTCAGCCGGTTACATTGTTCTATTCTTGTCAGCCAGTTACATTGTTATATTCTTGTCAGCCAGTTACATTGTTTATTCTTGTCAGCCAGTTACATTGTTATATTCTTGTCAGCCAGTTACATTGTTATATTCTTGTCAGCCGGTTACATTGTTCTATTCTTGTCAGCCAGTTACATTGTTATATTCTTGTCAGCCAGTTACATTGTTCTATTCTTGTCTGCCAGTTACATTGTTCTATTCTTGTCTGCCAGTTACATTGTTCTATTCTTATCTGCCAGTTACATTGTTTCTATTCTTGTCAGCCAGTTACATTGTTATATTCTTGTCAGCCAGTTACATTGTTATATTCTTGTCAGCCAGTTACATTGTTATATTCTTTTCAGCCAGTTTCATTGTTCTATTCTTGTCAGCCAGTTACATTTGTTCTATTCTTGTCAGCCAGTTTACATTGTTATATTCTTGTCAGCCAGTTACATTGTTATATTCTTGTCAGCCAGTTACATTGTTCTATTCTTGTCAACCAGTTACATTGTTATATTCTTGTCAGCCAGTTGCATTGTTCTATTCTTGTCTGCCAGTTACATTGCTATATTCTTGTCAGCCAGTTACATTGCTATATTCTTGTCAGCCAGTTGCATTGTTATATTCTTGTCTGCCAGTTACATTGTTCTATTCTTGTCAGCCAGTTACATTGTTATATTCTTGTCAGCCAGTTACATTGTTATATTCTTGTCAGCCAGTTACATTGTTATATTCTTGTCAGCCAGTTACATTGTTATATTCTTGTCAGCCGGTTACATTGTTCTATTCTTGTCAGCCAGTTACATTGTTATATTCTTGTCAGCCAGTTACATTGTTATATTCTTGTCAGCCAGTTACATTGTTATATTCTTGTCAGCCAGTTACATTGTTATATTCTTGTCAGCCGGTTACATTGTTCTATTCTTGTCAGCCAGTTACATTGTTATATTATTGTCTGCCAGTTACATTGTTATATTATTGTCTGCCAGTTGCATTGTTATATTGTCAGTCAGTTATATTGTTCTATTCTTGTCAGCCAGTTACATTGTTATATTCTTGTCAGCCAGTTACATTGTTATATTCTTGTCAGCCACTTACATTGTTATATTCTTGTCAGCCAGTTACATTGTTATATTCTTGTCAGCCGGTTACATTGTTCTATTCTTGTCAGCCAGTTACATTGTTATATTCTTGTCAGCCAGTTACATTGTTCTATTCTTGTCTGCCAGTTATATTGTTCTATTCTTGTCTGCCAGTTACATTGTTCTATTCTTATCTGCCAGTTACATTGTTCTATTCTTGTCAGCCAGTTACATTGTTATATTCTTGTCAGCCAGTTACATTGTTATATTCTTGTCAGCCAGTTACATTGTTATATTCTTTTCAGCCAGTTTCATTGTTCTATTCTTGTCAGCCAGTTACATTGTTCTATTCTTGTCAGCCAGTTACATTGTTATATTCTTGTCAGCCAGTTACATTGTTATATTCTTGTCAGCCAGTTACATTGTTCTATTCTTGTCAACCAGTTACATTGTTATATTCTTGTCAGCCAGTTACATTTTTCTATTCTTGTCAGCCAGTTACATTGTTCTATTCTTGTCAGCCAGTTACATTGTTATATTCTTGTCAGCCAGTTACATTGTTATATTCTTGTCAGCCAGTTACATTGTTCTATTCTTGTCAGCCAGTTGCATTGTTCTATTCTTGTCAGCCAGTTACATTGTTATATTCTTGTCTGCCAGTTACATTGTTCCATTCTTGTCTGCCAGTTACATTGTTCTGTTCTTATCTGCCGGTTACATTGTTCTATTCTTGACAGCCAGTTACATTGTTATATTCTTGTCTGCCAGTTCCATTGTTATATTCTTGTCAGCGAGTTACATTGTTCTATTCTTGTCAGCCAGTTGCATTGTTCTATTCTTGTCAGCCAGTTACATTGTTCTATTCTTGTCAGCCAGTTACATTGTTCTATTCTTGTCAGCCAGTTACATTGTTATATTCTTGTCTGCCAGTTACATTGTTCTATTCTTGTCAGCCAGTTACATTGTTCTATTCTTGTCAGCCAGTTACATTATATTCTTGTCTGCCAGTTACATTGTTCTATTCTTGTCAGCCAGTTACATTGTTATATTCTTGTCAGCCAGTTACATTGTTCCATTCTTGTCAGCCAGTTACATTGTTATATTCTTGTCTGCCAGTTACATTGTTCTATTCTTGTCTGCCAGTTACATTGTTATATTCTTGTCAGCCAGTTACATTGTTCTATTCTTGTCAGCCAGTTACATTGTTATATTCTTGTCTGCCAGTTACATTGTTCTATTCTTGTCAGCCAGTTACATTGTTCTATTCTTGTCAGCCAGTTACATTGTTCTATTCTTGTCAGCCAGTTGCATTATATTCTTGTCTGCCAGTTACATTGTTTTATTCTTGTCAGCCAGTTACATTGTTATATTCTTGTCTGCCAGTTACATTGTTCCATTCTTGTCTGCCAGTTACATTGTTCTATTCTTGTCTGCCAGTTACATTGTTATATTCTTATCTGCCAGTTACATTGTTCTGTCTACCCTTAGATGGTTGTTAGTTATTGTTGTGGTATATATTGCCTCAGTCTCATCTTCCAACATGTCCCTGAAGATAATATACAGTTTGGTGTTAGCTTTGGGCTGTCAGGTGGGTACCTAACGTGCAGAGTCTGTCATTCTTTGATCCTACGAAACACAAACTTTCAACTCATTCTGAGGTTCGATTTTATTAACACGAACACCGGGGTTCACAATTCACACTATGCTATCGGTGATTTTACGATCGGTTTGCCTTGTAATCCCGTGTCTCTGATCTGTTAAAAGCTTAATGAATTTTCTCTCCATTTGCGTCTATTTTTTCATCGTGTCGGTATTTTATACAAGTTGTCTACGAGACTGTTACTGATAAATTAGACACATGTGCAACTCTTGGGTATCTTTATTGAGGAAACGTTTCGCCACACAGTGGCTTCATCAGTCCATACAAAGGAGAATCTTGAAGAACAGGAGGAGAATGAGGTAATCAGTCCCTCAACCTTGAGTAGATGTGGTCAGTCCATCAATCTTGAATAGAATACGGCATACGTGCTGAGGAGCTTATAAACTTCATCTACGAGACTGTTACTGACATCACAGAGTCTGCCCTAAATACACATGCATGCTGGTGGCTTTCTTTTATTACCCGAGACCAGGCCTCATGGTGAATCAGGGTGTGATCAACCAGGCTGTTACTGCTGGCCGCACGCAAGCTGACGTACGAACCACAGCCCGGTTGGTCATGCTCAATAATATTTCATTACTTGTAAACTACATTTTTAATACTGCACAGAAATATTTTTTTTATACAGCCTGTCTGCTAGTCTTCTTAATAGTTCAAAGAACTCTCAACACAGAGTAATTACTTTTTAATTTTCTGAGGTTACATATAAACACTGTTTTCTGGCTGTATGTGAAACACACTGAATCTTTTTCAGGCTGTGTGAAACACTGTGAAAGGCTGTGTGTGTGAAACACTGTGAAAGGCTGTGTGTGTGAAACACTGTGAAAGGCTGTGTGTGTGAAACACTGTGAAAGGCTGTGTGTGTGAAACACTGTGAAAGGCTGTGTGTGTGAAACACTTGAAAGGCTGTGTGTGTGAAACTCTGTAAAAGGCTGTGTGTGTGAAACACTGTGAATCTCTCACTGTGTGTGAAATACTGTGAATCTTTCACTGTGTGAAACCCTATGACTCTTTTACTATATGTGAAACACTGTGAATCTCTTTCAGACTGTGTGTGACGTGATGGAGTTAAACTGCACAGCTGACAACAGCTGCATTCCAAAAGATTTTGCTTGTGACGGTGATAACGATTGTTCTGATGGCAGTGATGAGCTTGGCTGCCCTGAGGTACAGTAACTGCGGCTTCACCTGACAACACAAAACACTGCTGTGTTGAGTGTATATTTTCAAAGCGAAGCACTAAACCCGTAAGCTTGATTGCTAGCGCACTCAGCTCACGCATTGAGGTCCGTGGTTCGATTCCGGTACGGGTGGAAACATTAGGGTGTTTCCTTAAGACATTTGCTGTCCATGTTCACCTAGAAGTAAAATAAGTACCTGGGTGTTAGTCGACTGGTGTGGGTCGCATCCTGGGGACAAAATTGACCTAATTTGCGGGAAATGTTCTACATAACAAGGGACTTTCTATATAGTAGTATGTAATTAATGTCAGCTAGGCCTGTATACCTTGTACATATAAAAATTATTATTATTAATTAAGGGTCTCATTGTGCTCTAAGAATGACAGGGGGCGAGGGGTTTGATTAGAGGGAGGGTATGTTCAGTTTCTTGGATTAAGAGCCCTTCAGTATCGACGTACTCCCATGAGAGGGAGAAAACAAAAGAAAGGAGAAATGGAAAAAAATTATTTTCGACAATATACGTACTTGCAAAATATTTTGGTGTCTTTTAATTAAGATTTGTAATAATTTTTCACTGAAAATTTCAGTTGTAAATTTAAACACATTTCTTATGTAAAAAAATATATTTTACATTTTGCAATTTACTGTTTCTTTCAGTCTACCGTAAATATAACTACATTATTCAGGCTGAGGAGAAAACGTATATATACATAGGCACTTTAATCCTTATTTTACGAATGGTGGTTATGTTAGTTAATGTTCTTCAGGAAACAGGACAAAGCCTCACTACATATTAACTCGTCTACCTAATATTATAGGCTGAGAATATTTTGTAATTCATTGAATATTAGATTAAACATAGCGAAACCTCAGTGTTTGAATGTCCCGGACCTCGAACAAACCAGAGTCCGAACAGTTTTGCTCAGAAAAAAATCAACCATTCTTTGAACGTTTTTCCGGAGTCCGAAGTTAAAACTTGACGGCAAAGTCCTGCTTCTTATTAAGTGCTTTGAAGTGACCCAGGCTTTATCAGCGTCAGCTGATAAAGCCTGGGAAATACAGTTTCGGACATCGAAGTGTCCGCAGTTCGAACACCACCTAGGTGCTCCACTGTATTACCCTGGCTACATATATTAATACTAATTTATAAATATGAGAGCTGAGGTAGTACTGAAGTGAAAACCCAGAACTCACATTTTGGTGTCGCAGGAGATTTACCGAAATAGTAAATTCAGCTTACTAAGTTCTTAAGAGATGCAAATAATGATAATTGCGTAAATAAAATATTAGGTATAACTATTGTGTGTTATTCTGAGAGAAATTGTGGCTACTTAATTTTATTTTTGACGTTTTCTTTATTTCTGAACTGTTTTATTTCAGTTCTTTGTGATAAATTTAAAACATCTCTCCTCCCCCCTATGCCAAAGTGATTTATCAACCATGGTTTTTTCAGCTATATACATTGATACTGTGCCAGTATCAATGTATATAGCTTTAAAATTTCTTTATATACACAAATTCTAGGAAAGATTAATACAAGTACCTCTGTGATGTAACAGTAAAAGTATTTTTTGACTGGTATGCCAGTGGAAGGCTTCTGTCAGATGACCAAAAGCTCCAGTGGCGGGTCATCGTATGGCTAAGGCCCGCGTCAGGGAACACTGGTCCTTTTTCTTGACAAATATTACCTAACCTAACCTCGGTGATAGAAGGGTGACCACTGCCAAGCCTACTAATCAGTGAATATCAAAATGGTATACAATACCGACAGGTTGGTAGGTAAGATACATAGACAACAGTTAGGCAACTTTATTCCGAAACGTTTCGCTTACCATACAATAAGTGTCAGGGGCCCGAGACTGTTCAACTGCCTCCCAGCACACATAAGGGGGATTACCAACAGACCCCTGGCAGTCTTCAAGCTGGCACTGGACAAGCACCTAAAGTCAGTTCCTGATCAGCCGGGCTGTGGCTCGTACGTTGGTTTGCGTGCAGCCAGCAGCAACAGCATGGTTGATCAGGCTCTGATCCACCAGGAGGCCTGGTCACAGACCGGGTCGCGGGGGCGTTGACCCCCGGAACTCTCTCCAGATAAACAGTAGGCTTCTTAGTCGAATACGACGGAATAAAGTTGCCTAACTGTTGCCTATGTATCTTACCTACCCACGAATCAGTGTTTGTACTAACTTTTTTATAATTATTGCCAGCTTTATCTCGGCATTACTGACACTGAACATTCCAACAGGTGACATGCACCATGGCTGAGTTTAACTGCTCCTCTGGTGGCTCCTGCGTACCTATGTCCTTTAAATGTGACGGTGACGAAGACTGTGCAGATGGCAGTGATGAACAACAGTGTTCAGTGGTAAGGTATCTTAATATCCTGTAATGATGTATACACTGCATTCTTCTGTAATAAGAAATACTAAGATTATAATATTTTTGGGGGGTTAAGGAGGGAGTTACAGTATATGTTACGACGTACCTCATTTACCTCGGAATAAATCCCATAAATTCTTTCATATCTGTTCACCCAATGAGTCATCTGCTGCTTATGTTCACTTAGCAGTAAATAGGCACCTGGGTATTAGTCATCTGTTGTGGGTGGTGGCATTCTTGGATCACTGACTAGGCAAACTGAGACTAGTCAGTGGTCCGAGTCGGACCGAAACGTTGTAATAAGTTTCTCTCTCCTATGTGCGGGTTATTTGCACATTGTTCCAGTCACTGTATTGTGTCTTTTTGTTCTTTGAGAGTTCCAAAGGACCTCAGTGAAAATAATATAAGTCCGTGATTAGCAGTCATAGTCTGCAAACCCTCCAGAATTAATAATCCGTGTTTGTTTTTGTGATCCCAGGTGTCGCATCTTGGCGACTAGCAAACCTAGTTATTTAAACTCGTCTATTTTAATACATTTTAGGAGCAGTGTACAGGAACTGACTTTCGCTGTATAGGGGATAAAAAATGTATTGGCCAAGTGAAAGTGTGTGATGGTGTTTATGATTGCGAGGATAAGAGTGATGAGGCTCTCTGCCCCAGCCAGCCACACACACTGCCCCCAACAGATCCACCAGCGGTTATAAGATTACCCAGTGAGGTGAGTTAAATTTTAAATAATTAAATGTAGTTTCAGTATATGAGTTTAATATGGGAATAGATTAAGAGAGGCCCTTAGAGATTACTCAGCGCGACTGACAAAAATATTCGAAAAAATTCACAAATTGAGTTAATCAATTTGTGGTACAAGAATCATTGTTCTACGACATTCCTACAAGGAATTATAGTCATTTAAAGCGCCTAGGGTGACGTCACCACCCGCGGCAGGTCTGCTCACCTGTCCTCAATTTTCATGTTTCTTTTCCGATTTTCTTTCGTGTATTTATTGTATTATTCTTTCTAAGATAATAATTGACGATTTGGCATCATAATAAAGTGGGTGGGACTTACACGTAGACTTACAGCCAATCAGGAACCTTCTGGGAACATATTGCTGACGTCATGGAAAATTCCAGTCTCGGGATGGCCGGGGAATATGCTTCAATAAAAACGCTATTATCGCTTCTAGGGCTTATTTATCTATCACAATTGATCTAATATGACATAATAAACAATATAAATAACAAAGAAATATGGTAAATACTCCAGAATGAATAATATATGGCATATTCCTAGAGCGTTCCCTCGGAATATAAGATTCCCATAGTTAGGGATGGGCTTCCATTCTCCTTCTTTCACCTCCTGGGTCCTTATATTAAAGAAAACGGACATGGGTAACTATGATATACACTCATAATGCAGTATAAACCTGAGAAAAATGCTATTTTCTCGAAAAAAAAAAATCGGTGGTCCGGCTGTTTCGCGGATTATCTCGGAAGTAGGTTATTCACATATATATTGCCGTACTGTCGTTAATAGCAGGAATGCAATGAAATTCACAGACAACATAAAGGAAAGATTGTTTTACAAACTGCAGATTACCATTTTGAGATATCATAATTTGTTTTTGATTTTTGTGAGGGCAAAAGTCAGATATTTGGCTGAATGTCAAAACCATACAAAATTTATTTTTTTTTTAAGAATGAAGAAAGGATAAATTACAGTGAAGTTAACCCGGATAAATACAGTTTAGCATTGTTTTATGCGTAGATAATGTCAAAACAGCTTCTCCAAGTCCCACCTCGACAGTATAGTGCAATACTTGCAATATGTATGAAAAATAAGTAAATAATTTTTTTTCCCAGTTGTTTTTTTTTTTTTAGTTATCTTATTGAAACTTGGTCACATTAAAATGGAAAGGTGCTTCTTTACGTACAAAAAAATATGAACGAAATCGAACGAAAAATAAAGAAGTTCAGGTGCTAAAGCTTATGGGCCAGTAAAAGGCGAATTAAATTTGCTTATATTATCGTTTTTCGATCCATCTAGACTAATTTTAAGAACGAAAGCAGTACTTTTCATGAGAATCCCCTCAAGGAAGGTTCCTTGATGTTGGTGAGGGGCTCTTGATTTAGGGAATTGGATCTGTGCTCCAGTTCCCCGAATTAAGCCTGAATGCCTTCCACATCCCCCCCCCAGGCGCTGTATAATCCTCCGGGTTTAGCGCTTCCCCCTTGATTATAATAATAATAATAATTTTCATGAGAATTATACATCAGAAGGAATAAGGCTGTCGGATGAGGAAGAGAGAAAGCTCTCAACAGCCAGGCTTCCTTCGAGCCACGTAGGAACGGGAATCTAGCCGGGTTGAGCAGTAATGAATGGCTATAATCATGACCATAATTTTTAAAGGGGTGGAGGGGTAAGCCAGCACAAGGCCTCGGTCAGAAGACCAAAAGCTCCAGTGGCGGGTCATCATATGAGTAAGACGGGTCAGGAAACACTTGTACTGTTTCCTGATAAATCTTACCTAACCTAGCCTGGTTGGACCCTTCTGTTGTCGGCTAACATCCAGGTCCCCGCTGTAGAGCGGTGTCGTGAAACAGTCACCCACGAGTACTTACACAGATCTTCCTTCACAACACAGAGACGGGACATCGTCTGAGTAAGACTTATGTCAGGATAATGGGTCTGATGAACATAGAAAAAAGGGCAACAGAAACTGAAAATATAAAAAATTCTTGAGCTTATTTCCATATTTGACTATTAATAGGTTAGCTTAGGTAAGATTAGTCAGGAAACAGGCCAAGTGTTTCCTGAAGCGTGTCTTAAGTCATATAATGACCCGCCACTGGAGCTTTTGGTCATCTGACCGAGGCCTTCCACTGGCTTACCCGTTCACCCCTTTAAAAATTAAAGTTAAAATTATAGCTATCGTTAAACTTTAGAGATTCTGTGATATAGTTCTCCTGAAAGGTAGGGCTGCCTTGATGCTGACCAGAATCTCTTGATCCAAGGAAGTGGGCCTGTCCTCCTCTTCCTTGGAACAAACCTTATTGCTTTCCCTTCCCTTATATAACCCTATGGGTTTAATATTTCGCCTTGATTATAATAATAATCGTGAGCAGAGGTAAGTTCTGAGATAGGCAAGCTTAAATTTTTTAAATTACAGGCAGAAACATGAAAAATGAGGAAGTCGTACATTTGAAGAGCTTTGCCCGAGTTCATGGTCAGTGAAAGCCAGTAGATGATGACAGTGTTGTAGAGAGGGATAGACTTTTCTTCCATTTGATATGATTCATTCATCCATTCATTAGTGATTTGCCGGTACTTCCGGCCCGGGTCTTCTCCAGATGGCGACCCGGCGCCATTTGATATGATGAAGTGCAGCATTTTGCCTACCCTAGTGTTAGTGTAGAGTCAAAATGTGTGAAAACTGAAAGAATTCCTTCACAATTTTCTTACATAGTTGGATAGTTAGTGGTTGGTTTGTCAACATTACTCTTGAGTGCATTTAATCCATTGATTAGCGTTTCAGTGTGGTTTGTAATATGTATTTTTGTGTGGATGGCTAGTTTATTAGGTTGAAAGGCTAGTGACGGCTTGGAGGCAATTAAGGCAACGTTTCACCTGCACATGAACCATTAAAATAGCATTAATTCTAAGAATAGGATTCACAGTGATTAAATACCTCAAATGTTCATTAAACTTGCGAGTATTTGAACCTAACCGTTTACACACATTCTAGGAGGAATGTACAGAGGCTGACTTTCGATGCATTATGGACAAAAAATGCATCGGTCAAGCAAGTGTGTGTGATGGCGTTGATGACTGTGAGGATAACAGTGATGAAGCTCACTGTCCCACCACAGTCACTGTAGCAGTGACTGATCCACCTGCAGTCGTAACATTACCCAGTGATGTGAGTTCAATTCTGCTTTGTTAAATGGCATTCAGATACATGGGTTTAGTGCAGGGCCGTGTTAAGACACCAGGGGACATTTTGTTAGAAACATTGTATAGGCCTGGTCGTGGACCGGGCCGCGGGGGCGTTGATCCCCCCGATTAACCTCCAGGTAAACTCTCCAGGTATATTATCATTCTAAAAAAAATATTTATTTTCAGTAATAGTTTTTTAGATCGCCCATTATCTCTAGAAATTTATTGCTAAAAAATTTTTTGTTAGAGGACAAATGATATAAGCATATACCTACCTGATGGTAGTTAGGTAACTACTGTGGCAGCATATACCTACCTGATGGTAGGTAGGTACCTATTATGACAGCATATATCTACCTGTTGGTAAGTAGGTACCTACTACGACAAAGGATATACCTACCTGTTGGTAAATAGGTACCTACTGTGACAAAGCGTATACCTACCTGATGGTAGGTAGGTTCCTGATATTACCATCTGTAAAATACAGGACAGTAACAACGTTGACTTTCCTTTACAATTATTGCACTTTGTATATTTCCACCTTGACTAAAGTATTTAAGCATGGAGACCACACCAGCAATATATAATACCGTGCCGAATAGGTAAAACTTGCTATATTGGTTTAAATAGCAACGCTCTTCTTGCTGAATAAAGGCAAGCGAAAATTTGTGTATGCAATAATTTCGCAAAAATCATTCTTAACCTAACGAAAAAAATATATCTCATTGTGTGTGTTTATTATTAAATTATTGCACAATTATCTAAAGTATATTTAGTTGGATTAGGTTAAATTAAATTGTGCTTGTTATAAAAAGGTTAGGTAAGCTTTCCAAGGTTGTTTGGGTACAAAATTATTAATTTTTACATTAAAATAAATTAAAAAAAAAAGTCTTTAAACGTACTTGCCACAACTTGAATTAGTTCTAACTATTTAGATCATTAAGTTTTCGCTATTTTTAAATGGACTTGTGTAATTTTAGGGAGCTGTAAACAATTTGAGTACCACGTGTCCCTCGCTTTATACGGATTTGCAGTACGCGACTTCGCTTAAATACGACGCCTCATTCTATTGGTAATTCAGTTTGTATGATTTACGATCGTCGCATAAGATCGATGCGCTCACAAAACGCATTAAAGATCCTTATTACGTGGAACTGCAGACAGTGCAGGCTGTCTACATTTAAATGTAGACAGCCTGTACTGTCTGCATAGAGAGCCCATGCTGTCTGCCAGATGAGTTTTCTATGCAGACAGTACAGGCTGTCTACAGAATTAAGTGATCATAGCCCGACTGAGGTCGAACTGGAGTGCAGATATCTAAGAACACGAGAGTAACACATGTGGTTCTAGGCTACACCTAATTCTTCTGGAGAAGTGTTACAATATAGGGAGGAAGAGGACGAGGGTGAGAGACAGAGAAATACGAGAATTTTTCATTTGAGATTAGATCACGTTAAATTACTATGGATATTAATTTGTAATTTAATAGTACAGGAATAAAGCTGTTTTGAGAAAAGTTGAGGTATTACAGACTTGCAGAGGAGCAAATTTGGTTGATGTTTGAGGTAGAATTTCAAAAGTTATATAAATACGTAAAAATACGTAGAAATGGTGAATTGAAAATTCTCTTTTAAAAAGACTACACAAGAAAAAATCATGGTAAAAAAGTTAAAAGTAAACAGATTTTTTGAAAATTATCACTTTTAAAAAAAAACTATAAAATGAGCAAAGATAAATAAGTTGGATAAATCTTAATCTTAACGTGAAAATGAAGGCGAAATTATTTTAGTTCCCACAGGTAGTGTGCAAGACAGGTCTGAGTCAGTGTAAGTCTGGTTCACAGTGCATCCTTAAAAGATGGTGGTGTGACGGTGAAACTAACTGTGAAGACAACAGTGATGAGGACCAGTGTGACCAGGTACGTCCTAGACTGTAGTCACATAAAATTATTTTTTATAATTACTACTAAGTTTATTTAGGCACACGTAAGTGCAATTATACATAGTGTAAATTACCTAGGAGAACCCCCCCCCTCAAAAAAAAAAAGTGACTTATTTCCATTTGGGTCCTTGTAAGGTATTTAGGAAGGTATCTCTGGCAATTAGATGGCCTGTGGGCTGGTAGGCAAAGCTCTCGCTTCACACGCAGAGAACCCGTGGTTCGATTCCCGGTAAGAACATAAGAAAGAAGGAACACTGCAGCAGGCCTACTGGCCCATGCGAGGCAGGTCCAAGTCTCCTACCGGCTTAAGCCAATGCCCCAACCTAGTCAGGGCAGGACACATTCACTTAAGGAAGGAACACGACAACTGACCTAGTAGCACAAGCTAGTCAGATCCAACTCACACCCACTCACGTATTTATCTAACCTATTTTTAAAACTACACAACGTTTTAGCCTCAATAACTGTACTCGGGAGTTTGTTCCACTCATCCACAACTCTATTACCAAACCAGTGCTTTCCTATATCCTTCCTGAATCTGAATTTTTCCAAGGGTGGAAACATTGGGTGTACTGGCTTACACCTGTTGTTCCTGTTCACCCATGTTAAATAGGTACAAGGGTGTTAGTCGACTGGTGTGGGTCGCATTCTGGGATAAAATACTTAATTTGATCGAAATGCTCAGCATAACAAGCGGCTTTCTATATAGTAGTATGTCATTGATGTCAGCTAGGACTGTATACCTTGTATATGTACTTGTAGAAATAATGATATTAATTGCGGGACCGCCGTAATGTGCAGAGATATACACACCGTTAGGGACGTGAGACCACTATAATTATTATAACCAGGAAGATTAGTAACCAAGGATAACCCAGTAAAGCCACTGGAAATGGGTCACTTTGACGTTTTTTGGGTTATCCTAGGTAATTTACACATATGTTACTAAGCATGATAATTTATGCAACTGTATTTGTGCACCTGTACCTAAATAAACTTAATAATAAGACTGCTTGTCTAATTTCCATTGTGGTCCCTAATCCTCTCTCCCAGAATGCGACCAACATTTATTACATAATAATATTTTTATTTCTACAAGTACATATACAAGGTATACAGGTCTAGCTGACATCAATGACATACTACTATATAGAAAGCCGCTTGTTATGCTGAGCATTTCCCGCAAATTAGGTCAGTTTTGTCCCAGGATGCGACCCAAACCAGTCGACTAATACCCAGGTACCTATTTATTGATAGGTGAACATGGATAACAGGTTTCTTAAGGAAACGCAACGTAATGTTTCTACCAGTACCGGGGATCGAACCACGGACCTCAGTGTGTGTGAGCTGAGTGCGCTAGCACTCGACCTACGGGGCAGTTTGCATTCTTGTCACCGTAACTAATATTATTGTAACTGAAAGTTACACAGTTGAGTTACTTAGTTGGTTTTAACTTTTAACTTTTAAGGTTTAAAATAAGATATTACAGGGTTCCCAGTGGAAATAAGTCGTGGTGTCTTGAATTTTGGGTGATCCTACATAATTTACATTATGTATGATAATTGTGCTTACGTATACCTGTAGTACCCAAATAAACTTAGGTGTCCCATAGTTCGGTTGGTAGCGCACTCGGCTCCCATATTAAGTGTCCGTGGTTCGATTCCCAGTATGGATGGAAACAGGCGTGTTTCCTTAAACCCTCTGTCACTGTATCTAGCAGTAACTAGGTACCTGGGTGTTAGCCGACTGGTGTGGGTCGCATCCCGGGGACAAAATTAACCAAAGTTGCCCGAACTACTCTGCATAACCAGGGACTTTCTTTATACAATAGTATGTCATTGTTGTTAGTTAGATCTGTATAAGTTTTATCATGTACCTGTAGAAATAAAGATTATTATTATTTTATTACTAATCCGCCATTTTATAACAGTGCAGACACAAGGAGAGGCCAACAACACACGGAAGGTGCTGTCATCTGGCGGCTACACTCACATATACCAACATTAATAATACCAGCTAGCACCACTCACACCACTAGTGGAAATTTATTTATTAAGTTTATTCAGGTATACACAAATACTGGTACACAGATTATCATACATAGCAGTATATGTGTAGAGAACCTGGGATAACCCAAAAAAAGGCAGACAAAATGACTTGGTTTCATGAGATCCTTGTACACTTTCAAATAACCCATTTTCCTGTCTCGTGCCATTAAGTTTATTCAGGTACAGGTACACATAAATACAGTTACATAAATTATTATATATTTCAGCATGTGTGCAGATTACCTAGGATAACCCCCCAAAAAAGTCATTGATTTATTTCCATTGGGGTCCTTGTAATAGATTAGTTATAGATTTTGTTACTTGCTGTCCCTGTTCACCTAGCAGTAAGCAGGTACCCGGATGTTAGCCGATTGGTGTGGGTCGCATCCTGGGGACAAAATTAACCTAAGTTGCCTGAAATGCTCTACATAATAAGGGGCTTTCTATATAGTATGTCAGTGAAGTCAGCTATGGTCTGTATAAGATGAATCTTGTACTTGTAGAGATAAAAGAAACCCTTTGTCCATATGGCCACACAGTGGTAGTTAACCTAGTGGTACAACATGGCCACACAGTGGTAATTAACCTTGTGGTACAACATGACCACACAGTGGTGGTTAACCTGGTGATACAATATGGTCACAGGTGTTAACCTGATGGTACAACAGGTCACACAGTGGTGTTAACCTGGTGGTACAACATGGCCACACAGTGGCAATTAACCTTGTGGTACAACATGGCCACACAGTGGTGGTTAACCTGGTGGTACAACATGGCCACACAGTGGTAGTTAACCTGGTGGTACAACATAGCCACACAGTGGTAGTTAACCTTGTGGTATAACATGGCCACACAGTGGTAGTTAACCTGGTGGTACAACATGGCCACACAGTGGTAGTTAACCTTGTGGTATAACATGGCCACACAGTGGTAGTTAACCTGGTGGTACAACATGGCCACACAGTGGTGGTTAACCTGGTGGTACAACATGGCCACACAGTGGTAGATAACCTGGTGGTACAACATGGCCACACAGTGGTAGTTAACCTGGTGGTACAACATGGCCACACAGTGGTAGATAACCTGGTGGTACAACATGGCCACACAGTGGTGGTTAACCTGGTGGTACAACATGGCCACACAGTGGTAGTTAACCTTGTGGTATAACATGGCCACACAGTGGTAGTTAACCTGGTGGTACAACATGGCCACACAGTGGTGGTTAACCTGGTGGTACAACATGGCCACACAGTGGTAGATAACCTGGTGGTACAACATGGCCACACAGTGGTAGTTAACCTGGTGGTACAACATGGCCACACAGTGGTAGTTAACCTGGTGGTACAACATGGCCACACAGTGGTAGTTAACATGGTGGTGCAACATTGCCACACAGTGATAGTTAACCTGGTGGTACAACATGGCCACACAGTGGTAGTTAACCTAGTGGTACAACATGGCCACACAGTGGTAGTTAAGATGGTGGTACAACATGGCCACACAGTGGTAGTTAACATGGTGGTGCAACATGGCCACACAGTGATAGTTAACCTAGTGGTACACATGGCCACACAGTGGTAGTTAACCTGGTGGTACAACATGGCCACACAGTGGTAGTTAACCTAGTGGTACAAAATGGCCACACAGTGGTAGTTAAGATGGTACAACATGGCCACACAGTGATAGTTAACCTGATGGCACATCATTTTAATAATGGTAGAATTACCAACAATGTGTTAGGTAAAAGAACGCATGAGCATCTAATAAGATATTTTATTGCATCATCGTTTCGCTGTACAGGGGTGAAACGTTGCACATGTGTCCCACTACCTGACATTCATGTCATTTGGCTCACGGTAAAATGATTTTTTAAGAGTGTAAATGTAATTGTTTTCTTTTACCAGGTAGAGTGCAGCGAGGATCAGGTGAAATGTGGGAGCAGCGGTAAATGTCTGCCATTATCATGGCTCTGTGATGGTGCCATAGACTGTGATGATGGTACTGATGAAGTCAACTGTCCGAAGGTACTATTTGTTAGTAACAAGTTATCACAAGTTATATACACTGATGGATCTAAACAGGAGTCTTCTGGCAGGGCTGCATCTGCTCTTGTTGCCACCTCCCTAGTTAAGAACGATAATAAATTTGTTGAGTTAGGCATAAGAATTAACAACTGGGCGTCTACACTGCAAACTGAATTGTTTGCAATCCTAATGGCGCTAAAGCTAACCTATGACACTGAGCTTGACTCTGTCATCATTACTGATTCTATGTCATCATTGAAGGCTCTTGGCTCATATAATGACTCCAACAACATGCTCATTGGGGAAGCCAGTATAGATACTCAAAAATTAGGGACAAAGGAATTAATGTACAATTGCTATGGATCCCATCACACATTGGATTACTCCTTCATGATAAAGTTGATATGTTAGCCAAGAAGAGTATCGAGAAGGAGAAATGTAGAATATAACTTTGGTATAACTGTGTCTAGCATTAGGAATAATATTAGGAGAGAAGTAAATAATGAAAATGATTGTTATAGGAATGCAGTTATAAGCTGAGTAGATCTATAACCCACTATGATAACATGAACGTAGATAAGTATGTTTATGGAGCAACTTGCAATGTGAACAGACTGACTGATGTTGTAGTGGCCAGGCTTAGGCTTGGTTACAAGTACTTCTGGCAGTTTGGGAGACACACAGATGATCAAACTAAATGTAAATTATGTGATCAGGCATATGGTCACTCTCTTGAACACTATGTGCTTAATTGTCCACTTATTGAGGAATACAGAGACAGACAGTATAATAACCTATGTGACATGTCAAGATATCTTATTAATGAAAATAAGATACCAGATATACTAAGCAAATTTCCTAAATTTGCTTGTAACAGATAAGTGAACTATAGATATGTAGATATAAATCCATATGTATTCCTGTTAACCCTTTGGGGCCTAGTTCCTAGGCCTTTTGTGTATCCATATGCTCTCGCGCTACCGTCCACAGGATGGATATGGGGTGCACAATAAACTAGCCACTTCGGTGGCAAAATCTAATCTATCTCACGCATGACCGTCCCACAGTCATGCGTGAGTAAACACTACAGAAAAAATCTTACTGTTTTCTCTTTAGAAATACTACACTGATATGTTAATTTTTAAATGGGTGGACGGGTAAGCCAGCGGAAGGTCTCGGTCAGATGACTAAAAGCTCCTGTGGCGTGTCATCATATGACTAAGACCCGTGTCAGGGAACACTTGTCCTGTTTCTTAACCAGTGTTGCCTAACTCCACTGGAACACGCAACCAAACAAACATCAGAATAAGTGCTACCATAATATGAAAAAAATATGAATTTGAGGGCAAATATTTGAGACAAAACCGCCCTTGAATGAATGATGGTAAATGTATTTCCTCCTTTTGGGGCAATATTGCCGTCGTGGGAAACAGTCATTGTTTTTTATCAAAACTTTGAATGGAACTAAAATTAAATACTTACATCCAAAATATATAAAGGAACAAACTGTAATAGGTATTCAATTATTTGTATTGTACTCACCTAGTTGAGGTTGCAGGGGTCGAGTCCAAGCTCCTGGCCCCGCCTCTTCACTGGTCGCTACTAGGTCACTCTCCCTGAACCATGAGCTTTATCGTACCTCTGCTTAAAGCTATGTATGGATCTTGCCTCCACTACATCGCTTCCCAAACTATTCCACTTCCTGACTACTCTGTGGCTAAAGAAATGCTTCCTATAATGTGTGTTAAGAGAGGAAGAGGAGGCAAGAGAAGTACATTTTATATGTTAAACACCAAGGTGCTTGGTAAGAGATGATTCCACATCATTTCCTTGAACTGTAGAATTACAGGGAAGTAATTCCTTGGCATTAGTCCAGTCAACACAATTTGCTGTATCCCTCTTACATGAATAAACAAAGCGTTGGATTCTTGTCCAATAGATATTGCATATGTGTGTTTAATTCTGGTCTCAAGAGCTTTGCCAGTTTGTCCCGTGCAAAATTTAGGATAAACTGGCAAATCCCTCGACACCAGATTATATATACATAGAGAGAAGAGTGGGGAGGTCCACCTCTGGAGCTGGACTGGAGATATCATCCTCAGAGAAGACAATAAACGCACTTCAGGGAAAACTTAGGATTCTCCCTAGAGCTGTTTTGAGTATTTTCTTCTACCTCTCCCTATATTCTATGAACTGTATTTGAAAACAAAATACATTAACAAAGATACAGTGGGAAGGGTAACAACATAAGTGACATCTCAGGGTCTACATCTCAAATATTTATTTTACAGATGAAGTGTGTGGATCAGTTTTCTTGTACAGACAGTGGACGATGTGTTCCAGTGTCTTGGCAGTGTGATGGTGACCTCGACTGTCTGGATGGTAGTGATGAATCTGAGTGTCCCCAGGTATGGTTCTCACCTTTAAATGTTCATATGATTATGAATTTACAAATTTCTTCAATATGTTCCTTGTGTTCCATCTTACTCGTGTAGTCTGTTATTTCCATTGTCTGCAAGTTACTTGTATTGTTTTATTAATATTTTACATGAATATCTTTTTTTTATAAATTTTTTTATTCAATAATACCCGTTTCTTTTTCAGACTTTAGGCGGATGTTTTTACAAGATGTGGTTGCGGGAATATTACAATATTTAGGCGAACTTAAAAAAAATATTTAGATATTTTTTATTATATAAAATTATAAACGGATCATTTTTTCCCTTCAGTGGACAATAACTTTTGTTACTGAATGGACATTTTGGCAATAAATTCCTAGATCATTTTTTAAAACATTTACCTTCCTTTACCTTCCCTCCCTCCATCCACACTCCTTCCCATCCCACACTCCTTACCCTCCATCCACACTCCTTCCCTCCATCCACACTCCTTCCCTCCACACTCCTTCCCTCCATCCACACTCCTTCCCTTTATCTACAATCCCTTCCACACAGTCCTCCATCCGTCCCTCCATACTCCCTCCCTCAACAGTGCCCTCCATCTAGTCTGATGGCAATTTTTCATTGATTTAGACTTTCTCTTACTCTCATCTATGTTTTTTAAGCTCATACTCAACTAATCTCCTCACATTATTAAGCTTATGCTTTAACAAATTTCGGTGTTTTTGGAAGATCCATAAAATTTTCTGGTGGTATACACGTTGATAGACTAATGAAGGTATAGTTGCCTCGGTACTTTTTATATCATATATAAGAAGATGAAAGGTAGTTTTTCCCTGTGTTTTATTTGTGTTCATTAAAATATTATCAAATTTGTATTAACCATGGTGATTTTAAGTCTAGCTTTCTTGTTTTGTCTTATTTTATTAATTATATTGATTTTCGCCATAAGCGATGCATACAGCTGCGCTGGAGGACTGGAAGAGTGGTTGTGCATGCGGGATAACTGTGTGCGCGTTATATAATGCTAGGATAATGGGGCGTGTGTAGATGTATGGTGGGATAACTAGATATATATGTGGTAGGTGGTATGCATGGTGGAAGAAGTGGATATAACGGTGTGTTGCATTGTGGATAACTGGATGCAGAATAGGTGGGATGGTATGCAATTGCTTTTAACTGATGATATACTATTGTTTCTTATTGATTATTATTATTATTATTATTATTATTATTATTATTATTACTATTATTATTCAGTGCCTGACAGCTTCCTACGCATTTAGCAAACCCTAACAGGTGTTTCGTATGTTTGAATCTCAGTGCGAGGAAGGTATACGACTGAGAGGGGTCTTCCCAACAGCTGTGTTGCATAGTGTGGGTAGCACCAGTGAAAGTGTGGAGATTTTTTAATATTCTCCGAGTGAGGAGAACATATTCCGGCAGGTGAGAGCTGATCAGCAGTAGGTCACAGTGAGGGATGATGTATTACACACTTGTGAAACACTTCGGTGTCTTTATTGTGGAAACGTTTCGCCAACCAGTGACTTCCTCAGTCTAATACAGAGAAAAAATGGACTGTATTAGGCTGATAAAGTCACTGGTTGGCGAAACGTTTCCACGATAAAGATACCCAAGTGTTGCACAAGTGTCTAATTCACCAACCTGTCGGTCTCTGAACCATATATCTACATCAAAGTGAGAGAACTGCTGGGATGAACCAGCGAGAGAGAGACAGACAGGGAATTTCGAACTCTCACTCGGCGGGAGGTAGTCGAGGGGTAATGCCTGCAAGCCAATATATGTAAGAATTCATGGCCCAGTGAACAATTAGTGATTATTAGACAATTAGGAACAGTAACAGTAGGAAAGAGACTGTACATGATGTTAAATAGGCAAGTAACCGATGAAGTGTTAGTAAAGACAGTATCCGAACTGGCATTTGGTGATGTAGGGCTTGTGATAGGCTTGTGAAGTGACTGTACTTACTGACCTGTGGACTCTCATTCTTGTCACTATCATAACAATAATAATAATTTCTACAAGTACATGTACAAGGTATACAGGCCTGGCTGATATCAATGACATATCGCTATATAGAAAACCCTTTGTTATGCAGAGTATTTCGGGCAAATTAGGTCAATTTTATCCCAGGATGCGACCCACACCAATCGACTAACACCCAGGTACCTATTTTGTTGATGGGTTAACATTGAAGAGCAGGTGTCTTAAGGAAACATGTCATAATGTTTCCAACTTGACCTGGGATCGACCCCTGGACCTCAGTGTGTGAGCTGAGTGCGTTAGCAGTCGAGCTACGGGACACCTTAAGGACTCTTTGCTGCCTCACAGGTACAAGTAGGTTCTCTAGGACGAGTCCTGTCCCTCACAGAGCACTCTGCCTTTATAGTACCTTATCGATGACATAATTTCCTTTTCATGATTGTTAATAATGGCAGACGAGAGTAATATACAGCGAGGACTGTATATTATAGTATACACAAATTTATATAATAAACCCATAGCCCCTTCTGGATACTGCCATAAATATTTAAGTATTTTAGTTTATGTCTATAATTAAGACTGATTTTAATGTGTGTAAATGTATCGTACATGCAAGTTTTGAAATAATTACCCACCTTCCAGAGGCAGAAGCCAGTAAGAGGTAATTTCAAAGTAATTATTTGCAGGGGAAAATCTGTATTGTACGATGTTTCATCCACAGTGAGTGAAACATCATAAAATAAAGGCGTTTCCATGATAAAAGTGTCTTAGAAATTAACTTCCCAGATTCTTCGAATTTCCTATTTTTTCATATGTTTATTTTAATTTATAGACAAATACTGTCCCTATAATTTTTCTTTTTGAATGTGTAGGATAGCGTGTGCAGATTACAGCGTGGTGAATTTAAGTGCCAGAATAGCTCAACTTGTCTTAACGTTAAACAAGTATGCAACGGCTCGCCAGACTGCAGTAATGGCGACGATGAAGGTCCTGCTTGTGGTGAGTGCTCTGTTGTGTTCGCATGGCAACAATGAACGTCTTTTTTATTAATATATTTATATTAGTATAAGTACACTGGAATTTGTGCGATTAGATTTTTAGATTTTGCTGCCGAAGTGGCTAGTGTATTGCACACCCCATATCCTTCTTGTGGAAGGTAGCGCAAGAGCATGTGGATACACAAAAGGCCTAGGAACTAGGCCCCAAAAGGGTTAACATCTGGATTTATATCTGCAGTTCACTTATCTGTTACAAGCAAAGTTGTACGGACTGCACACCTCAAATGTTTACATATTTTTTTTTTTTGTTAGTTGCAGTACAGGCAGGTAAATGTGTTTCTGAATGTATCTCGCTTTATCTTAAGTGCTAAACCATTGTGTTTCGGTGATAGTGATGATCACAGATATATACCAACTGTAGTTAACTTGGGGGCAAAAGCTAAATCCTTCATGGAGACGAGGTCTAATGACAGTCTTATCCTAGACAACTGGCGTGCAGTATAGCTTAAGATAATTTATCATTTCAAGAAAACAAGTGCTAAGTGTAATTAACAAGTGTTACCTCTTCAAGCACCTTGTGAGCCCAGGCGAGGCTCAAGATGGTGCTCGATCTCAACTATTGAGTTGTAGGGACTCCTTCACAACCACATCTCAAATTGAACATTCTAATCGTCACTAGCATATAAGATAATATGATACCTTTACTTATCAGTACATTTTTTTTATGTGTCATTCATATTTACTGTCCTTTTCATTGTACAATACTCTAACATTCATATATTTGCTAATAAACTATTCGCATATTGCCAACAATAGACGAGTGCTAATAGAAGTTAGAGGAACACAGTGTCTGCCTAGCTCACTGCAGGGAAGGAACCGTATCGCCTGCGGTTGGAATCACTGCCCAAACCTTGGCGCAAGTTCATTACAAAGTCATTTTCTTTTTTGCCTATACATAGTTGCAGTACTCTTTTCTTTGTCTATACATAAGTGCAGTACTCTTCGGTTTGTCTCTACATAAGTGTAGTACTTTTATTTTTGTCTGTACGTAGCCGTAGTACTATTTTTTTGTCTGTTCATTGAAGTACTCTCTTTGTACAAAGATGCAGTACTATTTTCTTTGTCTATATATGAGTGTAGTACTGTTATGCGTGCAGCACGATAAAGGTATTTGTTCATTGTTGATTATTAACCAATATTATCAAAAATTTCACATGTTATTGTTCGTAAAAAAACATACTTACGTCACTTACCACTGATGTAAATCTTACATTCTGGTAAGATCAAATTTAAACCTGTTTTTGAATTGTGTTTCAGACAACTCGTGCCCAGAAAAGGAATGTAGCCATGGGTGTTTCACAACTCCAAAAGGATACCAGTGTACGTGTCCTGTGAACCTCACCCTGGACCACTTCAACACCACCTGCCTGGGTAGGTCCCTCAAGAGATGAGCAGCACTGCACATGTAGATTTGATAGCTGAAATTGTTTTAAACAAATTAATGCATGCATGTAATTAACACTGTCAGTAAGAATTTAGTTATAATGGTAGGTGGGTAAATTTTTAACTTTCATCGTCGATCGAAGTAGGCTACACATCTCAACGTTCCAAACTACGACGCCACTAATGGTTTTTTGAAGTTATCTCAGCCATTCCAGGATGCTGGGAATGAGTTCAGCAACCTTACTCGTGGATCAACTGCACCTAACACATTGTGATGTTTTAAATTGTTCTCACTGGCCATAATTTTTAAAGGGGTGGACCGGTAACCCAGCGGAAGGCCTCGGTCAGATTACCGAAAGCTCCAAAGGCGGGTCATCATCTAAGACCCGCGTCAGGAAACACTTGTCCTGTTTGCTGACTAACCTTACCTAACTTAACCTGCACATAACAATTTCTTATTGAGTCTTGCCCTAGTTAGCTTAAACCAGCGTTGGAAATTTTAAGCCGATGGCATGAAGCTCTGTGTTCTGAGCAAAATAAAAATTAAAAGTTGGAGAAAGAAAACTAATAAAAAAAATCCTGGCAACCGCTTATTATGTTCCCCTTCAGGGATACCTAATTAACATAAATTTATTATTTATAAATTATTACCTAATATTTATTATCACAAACCGTGTTTGGTGGAATTTTATATTAAAATGGGGAAGATTAATGAATCTATTCTATGTCAATAATAATAATAATCTAGTCAAAGTTTTCCACTTTCAGGAGGCCTACCATCAGCCTATGTGTTAGTGGGAACAAGAGCAAACTTGGAGGCTTACTCCCTCGACAGTCCCAGTGAATTTACTGTGTATTCTGGAAAGGCCAACACTGCTTCCGGGGTGAGCTTTCTTTGTAACACTGATATTATGCTTCTATTCAGTCTTAACTAAGTAACAGGCATCAGCACAGAATCCCTCAAGGGTTTAGCGCATGGTTATGATTATTATAATAATACTTCAGCATACAATTTTTAAAGACACTACCACATCATCGCTAGCAAAACAAGTGGGTCGTAAGAAGATATAAAATGGTTATAATTATAACCATAATTTTTAAAGAGGTGGACAGGAAAGCCAGTGAAAGGCCTCGGTTAGATGACCAAAAGCTCCAGCTGCGAGTCATCATATGACTCAGACCCGTGTCAGGAAAGACTTGTCCTGTATCCGGATAGACCTTCCTAACCTAACTGGCAATAAGCTTCGGTGCTCCACAAGACAGCAATTTGGGTCCTTTTCTTTCATTCTCCTTTTATCACTTTCCAAATGCCTCGTTATTACCTCAGACAAACACTTCTTTTACAGACACCCATTCACCCTTATGGGTGAATGGGTGTCTGTAGTTGTGAAGAGTTCACAACTACGGTGCTCTTCACACCAACTCCAAAGCTGAGGAACTGATTACCTCATCTTTTGTATATAGTTCTACTGTCTTCAAATAATGTCCTAGAATTTGTAATGATAAAGCCACTGGTTGACTAAACGTCTGCAAAAAAATACCCATATGTTGTACATGTATCTTAAATTATTCAACCGATCTTCAGATGGCCTGGTCAACCCTGTAGGAAAGACTTCGATCCTCCCAAACAACTGATGGTTGACAGTAACAGCTCGTAACTTTTATATATATATATATATAAATATATATATATATATATATATATATATATATATATATATTATATATATATATATTATATATATATATATATATATATATATATATATATATATATAAACTGATAATGTGCGAGTGTGGTGAAAGTGTTGAATGATGATGAAAGTATTTTCTTTTTGGGATTTTCTTTCATTTTTGGGTCACCCTGCCTCGGTGGGAGACGGCCGACTTGTTGAATATGAATATATATATATATATATATATATATATATATATATATATATATATATATATATATATATATATATATATAATATATATATATATATATATATATAAGGGGCTTGGACTTCCAGCAAGCGTGCGTGAGCGTGTTAGGAGTGAATGGAGACAAATGGTACTTGGGACCTGACGATCTGTTGGAGTGTGAGCAGGGTAATATTTAGTGAAGGGATTCAGGGAAACCGGTTATTTTCATATAGTCGGACTTGAGTCCTGGAAATGGGAAGTACAATGCCTGCACTTTAAAGGAGGGGTTTGGGATATTGGCAGTTTGGAGGGATATGTTGTGTATCTTTATTCGTATATGCTTCTAAACTGTTGTATTCTGAGCACCTCTGCAAAAGCAGTGATAATGTGTGAGTGTGGTGAAAGTGTTGAATGATGATGAAAGTATTTTCTTTTTGGGGATTTTCTTTCTTTTTTGGGTCACCCTGCCTCGGTGGGAGACTGCCAACTTGTTGAAAAAAAAAAAAAAAAAAAATATATATATGTTGTGCCGAATAGGCAGAACTTGCGATCATGGCTTAAACAGCAACGCTCATCTTGCCATATAGGACAAGTGAAAATTTGTGTATGCAATAATGTCGCCAAAATCATTCTGAACCTAACGAAAAAAATATATTTCACTGTGTTTGTTTAGTATTAAATTATTGTAAACAAATCTAAAATATATTTAGTTGGGTTAGGCTAAAATAAATTGTTCTTGTTATAATAAGGTTAGGTAAGTTTTCTAATATTCTTTTGGTGCAAAATTAAAAATTTTTACATTAACATTAATGAAAAAAATATATCTTTAAACGTTTTAAGAGAAAATTTTAGAAAGGACTTAATTTTAAATGAGCTCTTGCTAATTGACCAGTTTTACATATTCGGCACGACATATATATATATATATATATATATATATATATATATATAATATATATATATATATATATATATATATATATATGTATATATATACACATACATACATAGTACACAAATTAGAAACGTGCTATTTACTCTTGCCTCGATTTCGGCTGGAACTGTTGGCATCTCGCCATTATTCTCTTTCCATGAACCACCTTCCAGAGACATCGTTCGACTGTCCCCATCGCTCACTTTTACAAATATCTTTCCAATGTGCTCCAGGTGCTGTGAAATTTCATTCACACTCTTGCCTTTCATAGTAATCATGCATCTTTTCAAATTCTAAAGTGTTTTCGAAGATTTTGTCTGCTGCTCTGAAACTGGTGACATTATTTGATGTAATTAATCGCGGGCGTGAAAATTCACCAGCACATCTGAATTATTTAACAAACGCTTCTGCAGACATTGTTCGAGATGTACTGAACGTGTATCTGCACACAGATGTACAAGAAATGCAGTCTCTTAAGACTGTCTCCCCATTCTCTGGATTTTTGAACGTTATTGCCAGTAGGTGTGTTGCACGTTTATCACCTACATCCACTTTGTACCCTTTCTTGGGGTTGTAACGGCAGACCTAGATACTGTAATGTCCTACCATTATCCCATCGGCAGATGATGCAACCTTTGACTATTCTCGTTACAGCTGCACGACTTTGGATTACCCAGAAATTTTGGCGTAGGGATGCAAGGGTTTCTGGTACGCTTCATACTCATAATAATTTAGTCAGCCATACGTAATCCAGTTGTGTAGAATATATGGAGCCTATCTGACTTTGAAATTATATAGCCTTTCCCTACACCTTAGTACTCCTGCAAGATCCATAAGCAGTCCTGCAAGATTCAGAAATCAATCATGCATAATCCCGCGAACCCTTCAGGTTAGTGGGAGCAATGTAAATATTTATCTGTTCCTATGTATGTGTGGATATTATCCCGAATTTATCTTCCCGGTTTCTCAGTTGATCGGTCTTGAAGCACTCGATTCGATAATTGGTTATGACCACACAACTGTACACTGTGTCGTGGTATATACCGAATCAGTCTTTTATATTCCACATCGCTCAAGGTACATTTCACACTGATTTTAGGTGTCAATGAATATACTACGTGGTTGAACAAGCCTACATATATTGACAGATTGTACATCTGTACGTAGTGTAAACTACATCCCGTATCCTTACAATTATCCTGGTATTGCAATGCCGTACAGTTGTATAGTCCTTAATTACTCTTTGCGGCCCAAGTAATGGCAGTTATCCTGCCACTTTCGGTCAGAACTTTACTTAGTGTAAAATATCCTAGTTTTGCTGCCCATCTCTTATTTGACATAGATTATTAGAATGTGTTTCATAGCAATATGAGAATATATTTCATATAAAATATCTCAACTTTATTTTATTAATGTGTTTTAAAATGTAAATTTTATGATGAAATTGAGTTCTCGGCTTCCTTAGGACAACTCACGGTGTGACATCAATGTTTTTGTTGAGAGATATCAGCGTGGCTAGCGGCGAGCAACTCACGCAGCCGAACATGACTGATCCCTGACCATCCACTTTTGTCTGGGAGTCAGCCAGCCCAGAGTAACATACCGGTCCAAAGACTTTCTTTAGGGCTTCAGTGTTGCGTTAATATAGCATTGATCTATGAGGTTTTTTTTATTTAAATCAAGAAGGTAAGCTGAATAATAGGCTTATGGCATAATAGACTCTCACGTGTGGCCAAGCCTCTCGTCTGTCATCTACACCTCCAAAATTAACTAACCATTGCATCATTTTCTTCTTAGCTCTCCTACCTTCAAATGACAGAACATTGTATATTGTTTATTTTAGTTCACTCCAGCTCTGTTGCTACTTGTATTTAATATAACTCGACTAGTTTTTTTAATAACAGAAAACTAAATTTACTGTATAAAATTAAGTAGCATCTGATAATATATGTCCATAGCTAAAGTAAGATTGTAACATACAGAAAACTATACGATTACTGTATAAAATGAAGTAGCATCTGATAATATATCTATAGCTAAATTAAGAATTTACATGCACCATGCACATTCCAGTTTGGAAATTCTGTAATTGGCAGATAATAGCAGTAGCATATGACCCGGTGGAAGCGATGGTGTACTGGAGCATGAAAGAGCAAGGTGGTGTGTACAGGAAGGACCTACATGCAGCCAGACATGCAGAGTTGATTATAGAAACAGGTAAGGTGAGGAAAACACACAGTGTAGTAGTGTATTTCAGTGCTTTGTATTAAGGCAAGCATAATATTCGACGTCTCAGAAAAGAGCGTTGATACAGTGGTATGTCTGTTGTATCCTCATTTGACATTTTTATTGGAACCTTTTTGTGTTTTGTGAGTGAAACTTTTTTCCTGAATTTTTTTGAATGAAGCGTTTTTATTGCACTATATAAGGTGTAATATGTATACTTACTGTAAAGGCAGAATATTGAATCAGTTTACCAAGAACTGGGTTGTTAGAAGGTCGTAATCAGATTACAATGCACACATTTATTTCCTCTTTTTATTTGTAATAGAGCGAGTGAATTATCAGTATAGGTTGTACATTTGTATTGCAAATATTACCTCTTTGTAATCTCTTAAGGAATAAGGTAGAGTGAAATTACTAGGATGAACAATGGAAAGACAGAGAGAGAGAGATGCAAAGGGTATTTATAGAGAGGAACTTAAATATATGAGTTTGTTGACCCGAGTTTTTGCTGCTCCAACAGATGGAAAAGTAGTGGAGGGTTTGGCAGTGGACTGGCTGGGAAGGAATTTGTATATGACGGACAGTCAACAAGGTTGTGTCTCCGTGTGTTCCCTGCGTGGCATTGTCTGCAAGACTCTCGTCTCCAGTAGCTCCTGCAGAGCCATCCACCTCGACCTTCAGAACAGGTTAGACAGTGACCTCGGATTTTTTTTATTTTGTCATTGCACGAAGCCTGGTCATGGACCGGACGGCAGGGGCGTTGACCCCCGAACATCCTCCAGGTATAAGCTTTTGTTTCCTCTGAGGTACAACTATTTTCCTGAGCTTAGGGAGAAGAGCCTTTTATCTAGATAATGAATTATACAGAACTTGGTTTTAATATTAAATGTATGACATATGAAGTCTTCATATTTTGGTTGAGTTTAAAGCCTATCGACCACATATAACCTGTTCACCACCAGTTTAAGAAAAGATTAAAGTCAATTTTCAAGGTATATACACCGAGATAAATAACTTCTCAGTGTGTATATATCCTTGTGTTGATATTTAGGTTAGGTAGGTTTCTCAGGAAACAGGACAAGTGTTTCTTTAAGGACCTGCCTCGCATGGGCCAGTAGGCCTTCTACAGTGTTCCTCCATTCTTATGTTCTTAGTCATATGATGACCCGTCGCTGGAGCTTTTGGTCATCAGACCAAGGCTTCCGCAGGCTTACCGGTTTACCCCTTTAAAAATTATGGTTTCTCATTGTAACCATTTCTCAATGTTGATACTTTTAATTCCGTTAAAAGTTATATATATTAAGAAATCTCTTTCTCTCGCTACTGCTGTAATTGTATAGAAATAAAATATAATCGTACTTAAAAATTTGCAGGCTTGTGCATATTTGTTGTTTGTGATTTTCCAGTGTTGTTGTTCACTCACGACACGTCAACACAAGAGCGTTGAATCCTGAAGACTTCCTTCAGGCGTCAAGTCTCTCGCGGCCTGGTGCCCAGACCGACTTTTTTCTGGCCAGATCTTTTATGGTGGTCATTATGTCTTATGAATGTCAGTGTTAAAAAGATTAGAGATGGACTACAGGGATGTGCTCTCAGAAACACACGGAACCCACGGCTGAAGCAAAATTTGTCATGCAGATCTAACATTGTATTTTTAGTTTTTGCTTTCACCTGATCTCTTACAACGTACCCTCCCTACCTGCCTCACTCTTTCCCCTCCCTCCCTCCCTCCCTCCCTCCATCTTTCCTCTCCCTCCCTCCCTCTTTCCTCTCCCTCACTTTAACCCACTCTTTTCCCTTCCCCCACCGGGCAAGTTTTATAGAGATGACTGTATTCCCTTCTTGAAAACATTAAGTAATTGCACGTCTATTTTTTTTTTTTTTTAGGGAATGAATTGGTTTATCCTCGTAGTCTTATCATAGACCACTTTTTGTTTTTTCCTTCTCAGTTGACTCTTATCAGACACACACACATTTACAGTTGTGTGGCTTACTGGCAATCAGAGGCTGCTAAAACACTTTACATGTTACTTCTTAAAATTATATTTAAATATTCTGTGATGAAAACTTTTTAGAAATTAACATTTTAATTCTAAGTTGAAAACTTAGTTTTGCATCTTAACATGTGTATTTAATAATTCTAAGATGAAAAGTTATCTTGTGATTATTATAAACTAACATGTTTGACCAGTCTTACTATTTAAGCATCGTA